GTGAATGGAGCTCGCTGCACAATGGCCTCGCAGTCGCTTTTAATTAGATAGATATCTCTGGGAATAAAACTTGCAGACTTCGAAAACCGGATTTTTTTGCGGGGTATCGGATTTTTTTATATAATTAAGTTCTAATTGATTCAATTAGTATTGTTAGAGGCGTAAAAAATTGCTCGTATTCTGTTATATCCATGACTTTTTCTTCTTGATTAATCTGCTTCTCTTATATTGTTTCGCAAACTAAGTTTGAGTTCCGTTTAATAATCTTTTAAGAAGTTTGTTTGATATAATACATACCCACTCGTGATAATTTACCTCCCGTTTTGCAATCTATTATACCTGCAATCTCTTCCACGATTAATTGAGCTGTCTGGAACATTATTAAATTAAATTATACGCAGTATTATGCACCAGCAGATGCGCTCAATTCAGTTTCAAAACGCTCAGTATCTTATTTCGATTCGATCGATACGTGCAGCGTAATTTACAAGGAAAGCAATAATAAAAAACGGGGATATTGAGAGAGAGTTCGTAACACGTGTTTATCCATCATCATCATCAACCGTAAATTGTCAATTGCCATTGTGAGGTCTTGTGTGACAAATTTTTTTCGCCGGAACAATACGTTATTACCCTCGCTCGATGGCGAGAGATTGATGGAACGTCAGGCGTGTTTTTCGACGATGGAATTGGGATTTGTTATTTTCGACGTGGAGCCGTCAGTCGACGGCGACATATCAATGCAGGAAAAACCGCCGAATATTAGCCAAGAATGTTCATTTTTTTGTTTTAGAGGAAAATGATTTTCCACTATACTCCGTTCGCTTTCAGGAAATTGTAATGATTCAAAACTTGAAGGCTTTTACCATTTTGTAATAGTAATGTTTATTATACTTTAGTAGTGCCACTCTAAAGTTACTATGATTACCATGGTTACATCATTTACATTGGGGTCCCGAGACATCTCAATGAGCTTGGGATAATTATGGGACAGCCTGTGACATTAGTGACATTTCTACATTAGTAGAAAATAATGAAAAAACAACTGGTAGAAACTCAATAAAACTGGTATAGGAATATCAAAAAATTAGAATGACTTCTAGTAATCTTCCAATCAAAATTTGCAAAAAAATCGCTGAGTATTTCAAGTATCCATTTCTCCCGACGTTGCTATTACATAAAAATTTCCCAAAGATATAGGTGATAGATGGGAAAATCGATGCAGGAAGGTTGCAGGAAACTTGCGAACTTTCGTTGAAGCGACAACGCGACTCGAATGTAAAATTTATTGATAGATATTGTCGGCGTTACCGAAAAGTTGGTACACAGGATGTCCTGCGGCGGTATTAAACTGTAATATATGTATAGAAAACTACTTAGGGTATTTGTATGAAAACGTATCGATCCGTAACAATAGAGATTCCGGTAATTTTTAAGTGGCCCAACATTTGTTAGAAAGTACACCGATTAGACCTTTAAAACCATCAGGGCTTGGATAAAAATTTAATGGATGGATGAATCAATAGAACCGGTAAAAACTGAACAAACTATTATCTTTTCTATATAAGGGAATAGTAAATTACATAATTATAAAGTATCCTAATGTGGCCCATTAAACCCAAGTCACCTTAAATCTATGCATTACAAGCTTTCATTCATTTAACTTCACGAGTCAGGTAAAAAGTTCAAATTTTTGCTCGGGATAGATTTGGATAAAACTAGCAATCGCCCGATTAGATCGGGAAGGCCGTTTCGATATTTCACTGCAAAAACCCTGCAGTATTATGATGAATAGGCGTATATCTTTCCACATACATTCCGGAGAAATTGCAGTCGTAAATTTCCTACGCCTAAATTATAAAAACCCATCGGGATATACGACACCAATATCCGTTACGTTTAAGCAGAACTTGTATACATACACGTTTAATGGCCGTTCCTGTTTAAAATCGAATAGATGAGCCTATTGCGTGCGTTTCTGGCGGGTTTATTGAAAATAAATAAACCTGGTTTTATTTTGAATGGCCATTCCCCAACCCACCAGTCATTAGATCCTATACGAGGACTACTCACAAATTCCCATGGACAAAAAAATCAAATTCTACGCACACAAAATTGTTTACTCCGAGTGTAATTATAATTTAATCGAATGAATACAAAAATCGATAAATCAAAGTGAAAATTCCAGCGTTCGCAAATTACATGCTATTAGTTTCAGCAATGCCCCCCGTGCGCCTCATCGGACCGGAACGGCGCAAAATAATTTATATATTCTAACGCTGATAAAGTCAAAAGTGATAATACATTATTCAATATGGCGTAAAGGGTCGATAACACAGGGCTACCGGCTTACACGGAGGATACGCGGGCGAAATAAAATTTATTGCACGCCGACTAGGGCTGTTTAGATTCAGCTTACATACGCGGGATGGACGAATTTATCTTGCCTGAGGAACATTAAAATACTACAAGCTTTGTTTCGTGGGCCGTGTCTCGCTTAATTCGTATTTATTAGTCAGGGATTCCGCAATTTTCTATTATTAAATTTAGAGGTTTTTTGGTCATTAATATTCTACTTGGCTCTCTTTTAACTTATCGACTCTTTATTCCTTCGACCAGGTAAATAGCTTAGTTAAAAAGATAATGGTAGTTTCCCATGTATAGATAATTGACTTTGTTAGTTATTAAAATTGACTCGTGGCTAAATAAATGACTTTCTAAGTAGCCAATTTGATTCTCTTGAATAGATAATTATTGTCTTACATACATAGATATTCAAATCGACTCTCATCTTGTGCAAATAACTGACCCTCTTCATTTTTCACATATTAAAATTGTCTCTTTTGGGTAAATAAATGACTCCTAATTAAATAACTTATTCTCTTGATAGGATATGGTAAAATTACTAACTCAAATATACAAAATAATTGAGTAAACCATCCATTACAACATGAAATTCTAGCTATAAAACATCCCCCAAATGGCATGAACCTTTTCGACTGTCCGACCAGGACCCTAATCAACTGGTTCGCGAATAAACTGGCACGTCACTTAGCGAAATCTGAATTAAAGATAGGAATCAACACGTTCTGTAAGATATGATGGGCGGCACGCTCCGCCGGACAGCGACAATAATTAACCCCTAAAAGGGGCCGGCGGAGAGGCGATGATCAACCCTTTTATGTCATTCGTTTAATTCGCGTTTCTACATGAATTTGTATGAGTTTGTTTGCCATTCGTCGCCTCGTAAATTATTTCAGGAATAGGTAAATGTGTTTGCTGGTGTACAGGAAAATTGGGAGCATTACGATGATAGATTGCGGTTTGAGTATGATTTAGTAATTTCGGGGATGCGATGGGGATGTTGATAAGAGGGATGTTAATGAGTTTAAGGGGCTTTAAATATATTTTTTCAGGAAATTTTCGTATTTTAATATATTATAGTATTATACAGGGTGTTATTGAAATGAATGTACATACATATTGAAACGGGCTTATCTTTATACTTACTAGAATGGGGAAAAATATTATTTTTAAAAACACTTATAATTAAAGGGCTTATTAAATTTTGAAAAATAATATTAAAATGAACGTACGCCGCTGCATTATTGAGATAGATTCGTGAATGATCTATTTATTTTGTAACTAGTTCTGTAATTTGCAAAACAACAGATATGTCAGATGAGTGAAGCGTACTAGTAGGCGTACTACTAGGCGTAGTGCAAAGGTCGGAAAAGAGGTATTTTGTCCCAGATTTATTTGTTTGAATTTAATAGTAAAATTGGTGATATCAAATACTCTCCACAGTTTAAATATGTACATTCATTTCAATAACACCCTATATTTATTATATAGCATAATTGTATATTTAATAAACAAATTACCTACGCTTGTGTACACATTTGTTGTGCTGATTTTTATACTGTCCCCTCGTTGTAAATGATAACAAGTTTGTTTTTAAACCTTTCCATATAAGTTTTTGAAGTATATTTTGCGACGAGCCCATTTTTCCTTGTATTGTGTTCGTGAGCGCCGGCTATGAATTATTTATTTCACCGATATGGACAATTTTATTTTTATCGAAGATCCTTACAACGATTATGATCAAGTGAGTTCATAAATGCATAGTTAAAAATTTTTAAACTATTGTTTGATCCTGATAATATGTTGGTCGCTTTTGTTGGAAGAACATAAATTTCGTTATTATTTTATAAATAGCCCAATCAACCTTTTTTTTTGAAATTATTATCTAAAACCCACTACTTCCTACACGAAGTAATTCGTGAATAATGGGATATGTGGTTAATGTAGATATTTTATTTTGGAAAATTGATATATTGTATCTACTTTGTTTTAATAGCTGTCCTATACTCTACCTAAAAAAAGAACACATATTTTTACATCTATGATGTAAATTCATGTATATTATTATCGATCTCTTCATCGAGGTTTTCGGTCACTTCTGCTAAATTCCTGAACAAATTATCTGTACTCCTAATAATCCTCTAAATTCCTTTGGGTTGTGTGGTGATAAATTGCTAATCCTGTCTAAAAATAGTTTGCATTAAGCTGCCAAACCCGGATCAAACAGTGATGTTATAACCTGTTGATAATATTCGCATTAACCATACATTCGAGAACCCGACAATCTGTTGCTTGTACCCGAATCGATTGCGCACTTCAAACCGAAAACTTTTCCAATTTCCCAAACACTCCTTAAAGAATTTCTAACAGTTAATTAAAATAACATATTTACCTCTATCGAAGTCTACTCGAATATAAAGTAAGTCAATATTAAACACATTAATTGTATTATACTGAAATGATATTTATGTGGAAATTATTTTCCACACATCACCATATTAGTACTGTATTTTACAAGTTCCGAAAGCAACGTAGTGCCTATAGTTTATAATACTCACAGAAAGCATGTAAAAGGCCTGTATAAAACCAATTTCCCATCGATTCTACAAGCTCAGTCATTAGTAAAATTGTTGCAGACGTTCTGCGTGGTGTCGAAGAGGTTCCGAAAAAACTACATTCATCGATTCACCGCGACGAGTTCCGTCTTCTACTTCAGCCCGTTCAATCCCATCAGAAAGACATGTATATATTTGTGCACCAATCAATACTTCGATTATTTGGTTATGGCCACCATTTTGCTCAACTGCGTCTTCCTTGCCATGGCCGAAACGATCGAGGAAGCCGAGTAAGTATTTTTTGCTAATTACAGACCTACGGGGATAGTTGCAAAACGGTTTTATGGTTTAATCTAGCGCATAAAACGTCTTCAGTTATTTCTGTTTCGCTGTAAGTATTTGGTGTAAATAAAAGTATGGAAGACAAAAAAGGGATTAGTGGGGATTCTTGTAGGGTAAATACGAGTGTGTTTGCTGTAAAAATGGATCGTAAAGTGCACAGTTCGTTCGTTTATTTTTTTCCGGGATATGAAATTTTGATGAGAGGCAATTTTTACGAGCGCTTTCTGAAAACGTTTTCTTGTTCGTGTATTCGCCGCGATGGCGAAATATTTTCCTTCGGGTCATTTTTGTACGGATTCGGTGGTTTTCTAATACCTATCGATTTTCATTTCATTTCGTATCGAAAAACAAACTAGTAATCCCATCAATTTTATTTCAAAAATACGGGTTTATCTTCCTACTTACTTACAGCACTTTATTTCCTTTCCGAATCTCATAAGATAATCCGCAAACTGCAAGCAGCTCATCCTGCGGATGAGATTAGATACTCCGAAGTTTTGGCTATCACGAACTAAATATTTGTTGCAGGTATATTTTTTTAGCAATTTATACCCTCGAGATGTTAATAAAAACAATCGCAAAAGGTTTTATATTGAACAAATACACATATCTGCGGAATCCCTGGAACTGGCTGGACTTCGTCGTCATCACCAGCGGCTACGCCACCATCGGCATGGAGGTCGGAAATCTCGCAGGACTCAGGACCTTCCGGGTGCTCAGAGCCTTAAAAACCATTTCCATTCTACCAGGTAAGATTTTCTTCCACAAGTACCTCAAGAATTTTCCTCTTTTTTATTCTGGATATTAATATAATCAAGAGGTTAAACGAAGACACGCCCTGTTTATAAAACTCTTTTATTAATTTATTTTGGAACTCCCTGTATTGGGCACTTTGTCAAATTAATCAGAGGTGCAGAAACCGGCATCAAATGCATTCATTATTTAACTTTATATTACTAAGTAGTCCTGTGCGCGCCCTTTATGGCACGAATCCAAGTTAAATACGTAAACTTCGCTGCATTATTGCAATATTAATTCCTGAACCGGAACGCCGCGGATTCGCCGGGAAACTAGCAGCAAAAAAAAGGTCAAATTCGGTTTCGCAGCGATATAGATATACCTGTGGCGCTGTAATTATATTTCGAAAGTTTATTAGGGACGCACAAGGAAAATGTCATTAGAAAATTCCACGGATTTTACCGCTCGAACTCCAGTTTCGGCTCCGCGTCGACCGGGAAATTATTTATAGTGAATTCCCTAAGAGGTTTTATCGAATAAAAACTTTTTCCTCTCGAACGAGGGAAGCTCCACAATATTCGCGAGAAAGTTTGTTTACCTACTTATGTGTAGTTTTCGAAAGAAAATTAAACTGAAAAATCATTATACTACAAAAATGCGAAGATTTTTATGCAGTTTTTCAACACTTTACTTAGTCTAAGAGGTGTTGATAGGTTGGTATAATTGGATAATTTTTTATAGGTTTAAAGACGATCATCAACGCTCTTCTGCACTCCTTCAAGCAATTGGCAGAGGTGATGACCCTCACCATCTTCTGCCTGATGGTGTTCGCTTTGTTCGCCCTGCAGGTGTACAAAGGGGAGCTGCGCAACAAATGCGTGCTCAAAATGGACGATCACAATGCTTCCTACGAGGTCTGGTTTAAGTAAGTTTCCGGCCAATCCGATTTTCTCCGATTTTATAATAAATTTACGACGGTGCAAAATGCACAATCCCCCGGAGGACGTTCGTTCGTTTGATAAATGCGGCCTGCAGGGATAAACCGGACTTGCCGCTGTAATTGCTAATTATTGGCCGGCCATCGGCGATACAAACCGGCCAAAAAATAAAAAACCCGCCGAATATGCGAGAATTAATGGATGTACTGTAATAGATAATTTTCCGGGTTAATAAAAATCCGCCAATGCTACTACTGCATCATCGATGGTTTATTGCAATGTCGATGCAGACTAATGGATGATTTCTATTTTTATATGATATTTAGGTAGATAATTCTACTACCTATTGCAAACTGATTGATTTCTCTTCCTCGTTCATCGCAGCGCAATCAATTTTGCGACGAATTTAGAAAGCGCGCTTACCTAATTGCATGTTACAGCTACACGCAGGACCCGTCGAATTGGCTGTACCGAAACGAGACGGACGATCCGATCATCTGCGGCAACGTGACCGGCTCCAGGCATTGCCCGCCGACGCACACCTGCCTCTGCACCGGCGGCAATCCCAACCACGGCTACACCAGCTTCGACAATTTCCTCTGGTCGATGCTGACCACATTCCAGCTCATTACCCTCGACTATTGGGAGAACGTTTACAATATGGTCAGTATCGCGTACGTTTAATCTCTCCTCTCTTTCATACGCTTTAATCCCCTGATTAATTATAGTATAGGTACAATCAATATTAACTAAAAGCTTCGTCTTAACTCAGTTGATTCAACTTTTGTTGAGTGAGATTAAGGGTCGATTTCCTCCATGTTTCATTACGAAATCGGCCGTAAATACTAATTTATTGTGGTTATCAGAGTAGTGTGATATTCAAGCTATCGAATAATTCAGTACAAGGCCGAAGGATCTTCCGCGTTTGCTATAAAACTGCTCTATGGAGGAGCGGGAGGAAATCCCAACAAGTCGCGAACGTAATACGTTGATATAATAAACAGACGCAGGACGTGGAATTCGTGTCATGAGTTTTTTAAGAATTTATCCGGGACAACGTCGTATACCCACCTTGAAACACGTACCGAATTCCGGTTCATGAATTATGCGTCGCCTCCGCCGGGTTCCTCGGGCTCGAACTTGAATGGATTTAGCGCGGTGTTAGTTTATCTTATGCCGGGCATGTCCTCGAAAATTTGGTCTCATAGAATGTAAAAATTCCTGCAATTTTTTCTTCAAGAAATTAATTGTTCATTGCACCAAATTTTATGATAATTATCTGATTGATTTGAACTTTTTGTATGCATATTTGTGCTGGTTTTCGATACTTTTATCATTTTAAATTATTCAATTAACTCATTCCATAACAATTAAGTGCATATTTAATGCATATTGTACTCTATATTTCATTTCGGTTAGCAAATATGTATTTAAAACGGATGTAATAATGAATGGAAGTTTCTCGGTAAAATAGCAGTTCATTTGTCGGGAGAGGTGTAAAACTAGAACCGTCGACACATTCTACATCGTGCATTCTATAGCGGTTATTCTGCAGATATTTACATAGGGGATCTCATTAGGCAAACGGCCAAGCGTATTTGCATTAAATCCCGTGCGTTACAAACTGCGAGTAAAACGAGATAAAGACGATTAAGTTGCGTCGGAAGGTTCTACCAAAGTTAATTAATCGAAAAATATAACGAATTTAGTACCGTGTTGCTAGGCTGAGTGATTTGTTTGAACTATTTACGTTTTTTAGATGGTTTCGAATTATTTTGGGGGTTGTTTTGGTGATTTGGTTCTTCAATTTTGTTCAATTTAGAATTTATTGTCCCTTGTTGCTTTGCTATTTGATTTGTTTTATCAGTTTTGAAGGTTTCTTAGATGGTTTTGATTTTTTTTGAAGTTGTTTTAGTGATTTTTTCTTCATTTCTAAAGTTTTTATTTGTTTCAATATGGTTATTAAAGAACTCTTTATCAATTTATTCAGGGATTTTTAAAGATCTAATTTTTCAGTGATTTTGATTTGTATTTTATCGTTTTGGAAATTTTTGTTGTTTTTGTGATTTTTTTAATATCTTTTACCTAATTTAGTTTATTTATAAAACCTTGAATATCCTGATTCTTGTAGCTCATCATTTTCTCCATAAAAAAATATTTTTGTAAGCAAATAAAACTTAATTTCCAGGTGTTATCAGCTTGCGGCCCTATCAGCGTTTCCTTTTTCACCGTCGTAGTGTTCTTCGGCTCCTTCTATCTCATCAATCTAATGTTGGCTGTGGTAGCTCTTAGTTACGAAGAAGAAGCGGAAATTACCCAGGAGGTACGTACCCCCGTCCTACCACCTCTTCTTTTCCAACTCTATTCTATCGCAGGAGCGCAAGAAGGAGCTCGTGGACCACCGGGAGGACTCCACGTTCAGCTTCGACCCGTCGACGTTGAACGTCAAGAAGCTGTCGAAGCAGAAGATAAAGAAGATCGACGCCCGCAAGGGCGTGCTGCTGTCGTCGTACACGAGGAAGAAGACGCGCCGCAGGAAAAGGAACAGGAACTCCACGATCACCGGCGCCAAAACCGGCGCGGAAAACAACGGCAATAAACCAGAGACTAAAGACTCTACTAGTTCGTTAAGGTCGTCTCCGAAGAAAAACAGTCGACGGTAAGTGAAGACAGAATTCGAATTTTTGATTTATTCGTAGCGATTTTAAATTTCTACCATACATAATAATAGCGCGTAATAAGCGCCTCACTTTAACTTGACAGTTGTACATTGTTGTTATGGAGTAACTAGGGAATAGAGACACGACTTTAAAGTTACGCTAAAGTTAAAGTGAGGCGCTGAATAGGGGCCAGTATATTTAATTGTATAATACAAAGAAACATTCTGCAAAGCTGCAGATGTTTGTCTTGTCTGTAGCACTAAGGATGGTTGAATATTATTCAATTTATAGATAAAAATTTTCGAAATACGGGATTATTGAAGCGATTATTTTTTACATTTTCTGAGCGGTAGGATTTCCCGGTTTAAAACTCCGAAATGCGGGCATTTAATTTCAATCCACGGGCAGATTGCAGACTGTGGAAAAGAGAAATATATTTATTATTTCGGTTGCATCTCAACTTTACGGCGCTTCCGGCAGTTTCGAAACAACAGCAACAAAAGAGATATTAATATTTATGGTAGTACTTAGCCGACGCGCTATAAGCGAATTTTTTGCCGGTTTCACTGTAAATATTTGTTCGGATTATTTATGCGCTCGTATGCAAAAATACCTGTAAAATTAATAGCCCTATTATTTAGGCGCCCTGTAAGACACTGATTTTATTGGCCCGTTCCATCGTTATAAATTTCACGTCAATTTCATTTAAAATTTATTTGTTACATTATAAATACTAAACTCATTTCATTCGTAATAATTATCTCATTTACATTATTTGTGTTTTTCCAATTCTACAGCAACACCCGTGTTCTAATCAAATCCGTTTACCTCTGATTGATCGATTCCATTATTCCACTATTATTTATCATTGGGAAACGGGTAACAAAATTACCATCATTAATCATCCTATCATAGTTTACAGTAGCATTGCTACATAATTAATGCTTCATCATTTTTAATGAATCATTTGTACAACACGCAGCATACATACCCAAGTTTAATTAAATTTAAAATGGTACATTTACAGATCAGTGACGCCCAGTCGCAGCCCCAGCCCAAGGCACAGCCAGCACAGCCAACAGAGCCAGGAGTCTCCCCGGCCCCAGGTCTTACCTCTTCCTCACCCTCTTCCGAAGCACGTCCAGCTCAACGACCCGAAGCAAAGGGACACATTGCACCCGCATAATACTCTAGGTGAGCCGTTCGGGCGACGTCCACGGTATTTGGGTAACACCACGGTGCTGTTTCAGGTCCCAACCCCAACAGATTGGGCCTGCAGAGCAGGCAGGCGAGCAGCAACAGCGGCGAAGGCAACAACAGGGAGTCCTCCTTGGACGATTCGGGCGTCGTGGACGATCACGAACCGGAGGGTGACGCCACGTCCGAGGAGGCCACCACTCATCTTACATCCAACACTAGGGTGAGTTTATTGCGTATCGTATAGTCACCCTGTATAATAAATGACGTCAGAAGTTTACTAATTTATTAACAAACTGTAGAAACTGTTGAACATTCTATTCCGGCTTGTGCATTAGCGAATTAGAAAAATATCATGCGAAGCAGAGTAAATACATCTGACAGGGGAAGTTCGGAGTTGGCGTAACTTCGTTCGGAGCGGAAAATTAATGTTTGTTACGTTCAAAAGCAGGAGTAATCAAAAGCCAGAAGTTCGGTAAGGGACGCATCCGTTTCGATGAATGTCAATCTGCCGTCTCCGGCAAAAGAAAAAGGTAATGAGTCGAACGTATTCCGTCGGCGATCCGGCGATTCGGAACTTTTCTGTTTTTCGCGAGAGCGGGAGTCGTGAATCGGGAATCGGGCGCCGGTCCGCGAAATCTCCGATACTGTTCGAACGGAGATCGGCCGGCAAACGGGCCGTGAAATTCGGCGAAATCGCGAAAGAAACTCATCGGAGAGTAATAATAATAAATAATTGGAGTTTCGAGCGGATAATTGCGCTCGGTTTGACGATGGAAAAGGATTTTTCCATTTTTTAGTTCGATAGGTAAATTCCGCGCGGGTTGAAGTTTTCTTTGGAATCGATTTGTTGCTTCATTTGATTCTTTTTACAGGTGTTTGTTCTGTTGGTTGCTTTGAATTGTTTTGAAATTTTGAAATTTTACTTACTCTACAAAAGAGTACAAATGAGTTATTTAAACTGTCTTAAACAGTTCTGAACCGTTTTGAACTATACGAAATAACTATACAAAATGTGCAACATGTACCATACAATTTTATAAAAAAAAACCTCAACTCGGAGAGATTTTGGGAAACACCTTAATAGGAAATTTTTTGATGCATGCATCATCTGCATGCATGCATTATCTGCAGATATAGCTTAATTTCACAATATAAATAATGCAATAATACCTAAATTTTCACTCTCATTTTTCGCTATTTTTATGAATTTTGCATCAAAAGGTCCCTGTGCTCATTTTTTCATAAAAAATATTTTCACTCATTTTTTATCTACTATTTTTATGAATTTTGCTTCAAAAGGTCCCTTTGCTTATTTTTTTCAGGAAAATTGCAACATTCTCACTCTCAGTTTTCACTATTTCTATATGAATTTTGCATCAGAAGGTTCTTTATTTGCTCATTTTTTCATGAAATTTGCAAAAGTTTTCATTCTCATTTTTTAAATTCTAATTTTTAAATTTTATTGAAGTTCTAAATCTCAGATATTTCTGAGTAATATGCGTAGGTAATATTCAAAATAATAAGCCAAAGAATAATCCAAATATACAAAATAAAAAGCATTATAACCTTACTTTAACGTCAAAAATCAAAACAAAACACAACAGTGGCCTTTTACGTCTTTGACAACTGACAACCAACCAATTTCGCATCAAATAACCAATCCAACGACATTCCAATGACGTTTTTGGAGCAACATACACAGAGAAACGCTACCTGTACGTAGCGCAGGAAATTTTCAAACGAACCATTCCGACAGGATGTTCAATTAAACGCGTTTCCGCGCGTTCGGTCCCCGTGTAGCGACCGCGATCGTTGCACACAAGCCGGCTTTGCTGCAACAACAAATTGTTTTGCGGCTTGCCCGACCAAACGTAACAATTCAGAGGAATGCATTCGGCTCCCGTCTCTCCGGCTGGAAGGCGTTTGGCATCAACAGAGCTTCCAGGAATCCGGAATCGACGAAAAATACTGCCTGTGTCCTCCAGTCGAGCGAGATGCATAGGAATTACCGTCGCGGAGCTATCTTTCTATCAGATGTAGAGGAAGGATTCCGATCAGATGCTATAGGGCACGTTTTGTTGCCGGGTTTCCCAACCACCTGCAGAGCTATTTGGGACGTTTATTATTCTTATCAAGGCTCGCATGGCGGAGTCCCAAGTCGGTAACATTTTTACGAGCCGTTGCTGCCAGACAGTAGTAAACTTTTCCGTGCTTAATGCAGCACCGTAAACCCGTAAATTTCCCTTACGCTGTTATAGTGGAAATGGCTTGTTGAGCGCCGGTTTTTTTTTCTCGGGCATCGCGAGGAAAAGTTTTCCGTTCGTGATTAAGTAGATGAGCGTTCGGCAGTCAGTTAATTGCAAAGTCTAATTTGGTAAATGTTAATTAATTTTTCGATGATTCTAAGGAAGATAATATTTCTTCGATAAAGTGCGTAATAAATTTTCTTTAGTTATTTTAGTTAAAAGCTTGTTTGCGTATAATAATTCAATGTCGGTTTCTCCGCCATTATTCCGGAAGATAAACCTGACACCTGTTACAGAGGCCTTGGGATCACCGATGATAAAATGCGGAAGAGCCGGAATTTACTTTAGGTGGAAAATTGAAAGCGCTCTCGAATGTAAAATAGAAAATTTATAAATAAAATGCATTATAGTGTTACCATCAGGGGCGAAAAATAGACTGTTGCGTTGTAATTTTAGTATCGTGTGAAAAATGGAATTTTAGAGGTCTTTTTAAAGTGCAATGATAGATTCTTGATGGGATCAAAAATATTTAAAAATCTTGGATTTTGATAGATTTTTAAAAATATAATGAAGATTCTTTAACACTTTTACAACTTTTCAACACTCCATCGGAACTCATTTTGAAGTTCTAAGAGAAATTTCTAAATTACATGGAGATTCTTCAACATTTTTATATAAAATCCCAACTTTGGGAATACCATAGATCCATAGATCCCTTCTTTAAACATATATTTAACTATTTCTTCACTTTATTTGACACTATTTTAAAAATTTTTAGACGAATTTCATTTTATTACCACCTCTACTCAACTCTCCATCGTAACTCATTTAGAGTTTCAAGAGAAATTTCTAAATTACTTTCTTTTATGACCATCAAGAAAATTCGAAATTGCATTATACGCCATCCGGTTTTCTCCCGATATTATCCCATTGTCCACTTTAATAACGCTAATACCCCATAAAAATTGCAGCAAAGGATAGAAGTGACGCCCGTCACGGTGGCTGTGAGTCCCAAAGAGATAAAAGTGATCAAATGCAACGGCGTGGGCAGCTGTAAAAAGAAAAAGGAAGTCTACACGCTGCAACCCGATTGTCTCTCGCATATCGTAGTAATAAGTAAGTGTCTTATTAACAAATTTCTCCTGTTTTAACATATTCCCCGAACTTCCAGATCAAGAAATTCCCGATAGAAATTGCTCAGGTTGCGAACAGTGCTGCATGGACTACGAAGGTTGGCTGCAATTCCAACAAGGACTCTACCAAATCGTTAAAGATCCTTTGTTCGAATTGACTATTACCGTTTGCATCGTCCTTAATACCATGTTCCTGGCTATGGAACACCACGGTATGAGCGAATCAGTACTTAGGTGCTTAGATATAGGTAACAAGGTTAGTAGAAAAAATTAGTGAAGAAGTTGGTAAACAAAAATAAAATTCCATTTGCAGGTTTTTACTTCCATATTCACGTTCGAGTGTTGCCTGAAGATAATGGCGTTGAGCAAGGACTTCTTTCACTGCGGTTGGAACATCTTCGACCTCATCATAGTCTCCGCCAGCTTGCTCGACCTCGTTTTCGAATTGGTCGACGGCCTGTCCGTGCTGCGGGGGCTCAGATTGGTAAGCGAACTCGTTAAATATGTGCCCGGCGATTCTACGGCGAGGGACAATTCAATCAGCATCGACCCGTTGCGGCGGCGTTTCGCGCGATTTTATCCGCGGCGTTCGCCGAACGAAAGCGCTCGGATATTAAGGAAAAGCCGCTTCTCGGCGGGCGCGCGAGGTAAAACTTTCACGAAGTCGCCGGTTAGCCGAGTTGGCTGACCTCGATGGGGCTTTATTGGAACGTTTCGCGGTAACGCCAGACAGCGGAAAGCGCTTCCGTTGGATGTTCGACGCGAATTATGATCGGTTTACGTGGGGGAACAAACGGAACTTCGCTGGGAATTCGTTCGTATCTAAATGGAATCAATTTCGATTTGATATTAGAGGACACGTTGCCTATATACAGAGTGTCCTAAAAGTATAAAAACGGCCGAATTTTAGTCAAATTGCTCGCTGCTACCCTTAAAATAGGAAGTTAAAAGGATGCAAAAAGGGTTCATTATAGCTTAGTTACTTTTTGGCAATTACCTACATATTTATTTAGAGAAATTTTATTGGTTTTTTTGTAGCTAAGGGTGCTTAAATTAGCCCAGTCATGGATAACGATGAAAGTGCTGCTCAGTATCATCATCAGTACAATCGGGGCTTTGGGAAATTTGACGCTGGTGTTGGCGATAGTGATATACATATTCGCTGTGATTGGTATGCAATTATTCTCAAAGGATTACACGGAGGAGATATTCTTTCCCGATCCGGTGCCGAGGTAATTTCAATAGAGATCGGATTTATTATCGGACGTTCGTTTTCGTTGAATTTTGATGTTGTTTTAGGTGGAATTTCAACGATTTTTTTCATTCGTTCATGATGATTTTTCGAATTTTGTGCGGCGAGTGGATCGAGCCGCTTTGGGATTGCATGAGGGCCGAAAAAGCGGAGGTGAATATTAAAAAAAAATCAACACACCGATTTAAAATTCACAATTCATAATTCACGAGTTTCAGAACTCGTTCACGGCTCATTTTAAATTAATTTATGATTAATTTGTAATCAATTCAAATTTCAATATCCCACTAGTTCGGGACAAATTCAGAGCTCATTCACAATTTATTTTGAACTAATTTATGATTATTTTGTGACCATTTAAATATCTCAATATTTTGGGATAAGTTTAGAACTCATTCTCAACAAATTTCTGATTAATTTGTAATCAATTCATATCTCAATATCCCACTAGTTCAGGACAAATTCAGAGCTTATTCACAATTCATTTTGAACTAATTTATGATTATTTTGTGACCATTTTAATATCCCAATAGTTCGGGACAAGTTTAGAACTCATTCTCAACAAATTTCTGATTAATTTGTAATCAATTCAAATCTCAATATCCCACTAGTTCAGGACAAATTCAGAACTCATTTACGACTCATTCATGACTCATTTTGTACCAATTTATTCTCCACTAATTTCGGACAAAATCAGTACTCATCCGTGACTAATTCTGAACCGATTCGAGACTAATTTAAAAGCCGTAATTCTCTTTATTTTTTAGGGTTCTGGAACGTGCTTGGCCGTGTTCCTGCCCACTTTGGTAATGGGAAACTTCATGGTGCTGAACTTGTTCTTGGCCTTGCTGCTCAACAGCTTCAATTCCGAGGAATTGAAAACGAGGAAAGAGGTATTTCGCGAATTTTATTTCAGTGTATAGTTTGCTGTTTTTCTTCGTATAAGCATGCCTTACTTTATCTGTCTTTATGTCGTACTTTATTCTAAAACGATTGAAGCTAAACCATTCTTGTAACAATGACTTCTAAGGATTCTTAAAGGATTTTGTTGTGTTCTCCGCAGGTAAGTCTGTGAAAACATTAATTGTGCTACTAACTTTTAATGACAGTGTATAATATACAAAGTGTTTTGTGAATCGGAACTTTATTTGAATGTACTAATTGTGTGTAATTAGTGTAGGAATTACTTAAGTAATTTTAGAAAATTCTGTGTGAAATTAGCTATAGAATATAATAATTGCAATCGATAGAACTCCATTTGTGAGCAAATATTGCCAATTTTTCATGAATCAAACGATGATGAATGACCGGAAAATCGGCAGGCTTAAATAAATCCGGTTCTATTGATTTTCCTATCGTACCTGTAGATGTAACTTTTGTATTTTTTATCGTATACTTAATTTTATCCTTGCATGATCTATCGAATGCGTGTCTCTTTTGATAAACGTTTAAGAATATAACAAAGCACGTAGGTAAGTTTTCGCTTAATTTTATTAATACGCTTCCTACTCTAAATACTTTTTACATAATCTCATTATATCGCCGACTAGAGCTTACCTAATTAAAATACCTTCTATGCAATATCCTCCTAATGGATTTACCTGTTTAATATTCGCAAATAATAAATTATTTACGCGCAGAGCGTCCTGTAAAGTACGCCCATTTAATGTAACTAAATCAGTACCCCGAATTAATATAACGGTATAATAATTCCCCAGGCAAACAGATTCCCGAAATTGATAATAATTCTCTTCGTTTCGAATAGGAAGTCGGCGATGAATCGAAGTTGGCCCAGAGTTTCCAAAGGATCCGGGACCTGATGAAAAAGGGTCGGCTCACCGAACAAAAGGATAACGAAAGCAACTCCAGATTAGAGCGGATCGTTAGGGAAGTCATGCAAAGGCACGCCGAAGAGGAGGCCCTCAGAGCCGGTGAGTCGATAAAATCACGCGGCCCAATAATTTCATAGCGCGTAATAAATTCAAATCGACTGTACGGGTAATTGGCGATTTGGATTTCAGTGGAGAAGCCCGCCAGAGCCGCCCAGCAGACCGTCGTGGGCTTTCCGAGGGACAAGAGGAGCTACCAGGAGGCCATGAACAGGCCGATTTCCATAATTAGCTACGATCCGCCGGAGTATCAGGTGAATAATTATCGGAAAACTTAATTGAAATCCTCTCGAACAACGCGAAAAATTTAAGGGAATTTCGGGCTCCGAATAATAAAGCTTAATTACACTTGGGAAGTTCGAGTTAGATTAAATCCGGTGCAAAGTTGAGCGGGTACTCCGGTTTGATTTTTCGTTCGTCGTAATTACTGCGAGTTTATGCAAATTTTTATATGGGTTATTTCAGGAGAAAATACTGGAAAAGGAGGAGTTCAACGAGAGCCCGAAGTTGTACGACAAGAACGCCGCCGAAGAAACCGCAAAAACGCCGAAACCCAATAAAAAAATTAAAATCCTGCAGAACATGTCCTCTGGTATTGGTTCAATCGAAAACAGCAAAGGTAATTTTATTTTGTCCGCAATTAAATTAATTCCGCTTTGAACTTTATAATAAAAAAATTAACCGAATTCCCCCAACATTTTCGGCCTATATCTCTCCTCAACCCGAATTCGAGTGGATAGAACTATATCTTATTTCAATCAAGAAAACTCAATTTCCCAAATCGAAAAATCCTGCCACACTTCAACGACAGGATTCGATTAAACGCCGTGTATTTTAGACAGAAAAGCAATTTTCCTCGTCTCATAGCGGCTCGCAACTCGCAACTTTCTCCGGTACCTTATTAAATTCCGAGGTAAATTTTCTATTTGCTCTCTATCGAGTGGGAGAAATATAATTACAAAGTTTAGTTTTCATATTTAAATTAGCGCAGGATGGATGGGATTTTTAATTGGAACGGCTCGTTGCCGGCGAGTTTGTTGTTCTTTTAGTTACTTTCTAAGCGATTTCGGTTTATAATTGTAAAGGTAATAGAGTAAAGTTTCAAACTTGATTTGGTTTTCACTGGGATAAATAATTAATCTAAAAATATTGGGAATTTTGTATTGCTTTGTTACAGGTGATCCAATGTAATTCAGAAAAAAATTGCTGTTTCAGCAAGTTTTAATTACCCAATACAAACATTTCCCATTTTTTTTGTTAGTAATGTTCTAATTGTTAAAGTCTAACGACTAAATGGTTCGTGAATGATTGGTTGAATAGGGAATATTTTGTGTAGAAGAGACGAGCCTAATTAATCCGAAATCGGGCGAGCAAGGGACGTCAATGGACTCGGAAAACGAGGAGCAGCATCAGCGAACGCCCAAGCAGAAATCGAGCGATAATAATCCATTCGACGGCGGCGACAAACCGTGGCAAACGCTGGTGTCGTACGTGGATGAATTGACCGTCGGCGGCAGGCGCAACTCCAAAGGGCAATACGTCGACGGCATGGGGAATTTTCCCGGATTCGGGATGAAGAAGGCGCCTCTGGTGGCGCCCGACTGCTTCCCGTCCAATTTCTACGTGAGGTAAATTTCTTTGATGGCTTTGTTGAAGGTCTTGAGGATTTTTTATTGAGGATTTGTTGGTCATTTTTGGGAGGTTTTTTTTTCCACGGATTTATTGGGAATGCTTTTGATGAATTTTCTATATTTTTTCGAAGACATGATTGAGGAACGATTTTGTGTATTATTTTTAATTGTGTTGAAATTATGTTATATTTTTCATGTTAGATGTTTTTTAATGACATTTTTTTTATGATTTTTTTAGGGTTGGTAATTTTTCGAGACTTTTCTTTGCGATATATTAGGAAGATTTTTAAAATTGGAATTTTTGAAATTTTCACTAGTCATAATTAGTTTTTTTAATGATTTTTAATTGTGTAAAAATGTTTTTTTTTACTTTTTCTAATGTTTATTCCTTGATTATAGGTGTTCTTTTGCAGTTTTCTTTTTTTCATATTCTCAGAGATTTTTCTTCGAATTTATTGCTCAGTTTATGATCCATTTACGAAATTTTCATGTGTTTGATGTTTTTTGAAAAATTTTTAATGGTATTTTTTTAACAGTGTTACCTATATCTTTATGATTTTAGATGTTCTTTCCACAATTTTCCTGTTTTTCATAAATTTAAAAGGCTCTTTTTACGATTTATTGGTCATTTTCGATATATTTTTAGAGTTTATTTGATTGTTTTTTTAGAAAGTTCTTTGATGATTTTTCTAAATTCTTTAAAGGAGGATTGAGACCTTATGAAAATTGTTGTAATAATATAATAATATTTATGATGATTAATGATTATTTTTCATGATATTCAGACGCTTTTTTCCAAAATTTTTACCCTAATTTTTATTAAGTAATCTTTACATACGTCTTTACAGTTTTATTTCAATTCCTCCTAATCTCTATTACAACTACATCCTGAGCCACCGAGCCCCATTAAAAATGCAATTTTCCCAGGTGTTCCTGTTTAAACAAATGCGCCGAATCCAACCTAGGCCAAAAATGGACGGACCTGCGGAAGCTAATCCTAGGCGTCGTCGACACAGCTGCCTTCGAATGGTTCATACTAGTCCTAATATTCGCCTCGAGCGTAACCCTCTGCTTCGAAGACATCCACCTCGACGAGAACCCCGACCTGAAGCTCGTCCTCTACTGGACCAACCTCGCCTTCTCCGTCATCTTCATCCTGGAGATGTTCCTCAAGTGGTTCGCCATCGGTTTCCACAAGTACTTCACCAGCTTCTGGACCCTGCTGGATTTTTTAATCGTATTCGTAAGCACCAACTACATTCCCACATCTCTCTGTATACTTCACAGTTCGCTCCCGCAGGTGTCGCTGTTCAGCTTGCTGATCGAAGAGAACGAAAATCTCCGCGTGCTGCGCTCCTTGAGGACTCTCAGAGCGCTGAGGCCGCTCAGAGCGATCAGCAGGTGGCAGGGAATGCGTATTGTCGTCAACGCTCTGATGTACGCCATTCCCAGCATCTTCAACGTGCTGCTGGTGTGTCTCGTCTTCTGGCTGATATTCTCCATTATGGGAGTGCAGTTTTTCAGCGGGAAATTCTACAAGTGCGTCGACGACGAAGGGGAACGATTAAACACATCTGTACGTAAAGTTTTTTAAACTCGAATTTAGTTTGTAAAGATGGTAATTCTTCAGGTTGTGGACAATAAATGGGAATGCCTCAGCAAGAACTACACGTGGATCAATTCGAAAATCTCCTTCGATCACGTGGGGATCGCCTATTTGGCCTTGTTTCAAGTGGTGAGTAGCGAGGGGGTTTTGGATATGGTGTGGGGAATTAATGAATGGGGGTGTTTCAGGCGACTTTTGAGGGTTGGATGGAGGTGATGGCGGACGCCGTGGACGCCAGAGGCGTCGATTTGCAGCCCCAAAGAGAGGCGAATCTGTATGCTTACATTTACTTCGTGATTTTCATCGTTTGCGGGTCGTTTTTTACGCTTAACTTGTTCATAGGAGTCATTATAGATAATTTTAATATGCTCAAGAAGAAGGTAATTTGTTATTTACTTATACAGTCCAAACAATAATAATAAATGATTGTTTTTGTAGTACGAAGGTGGTGTTTTGGAAATGTTCCTGACGGAAAGCCAGAAGCATTATTACACGGCGATGAAAAAATTGGGTAGAAAGAAGCCGCAGAAAGTAATAAAAAGGCCGATGAATCAATGTTTGGCGATGTTCTACGATTTATCGAATTCCCGTCGGTTCGAAATAGCAATATTCGTGTTGATTTTTTTAAATATGCTCACCATGGGAATCGAGCATTACGGTCAGCCGCATGCGGTGTTCTTTGTTTTAGAAGTTAGCAATGCCTTTTTTACAACTGTGTTCGGATTAGGTACGTTAAACATCCACGAATTTCGACCGATGCTCAAACTATCTTTTATTTACAGAAGCGATAGTCAAAATAATAGGATTAAGATACCATTACTTTACCGTTCCATGGAATGTTTTCGATTTTTTATTAGTTCTGGCTTCCATTCTCGGCATTCTCATGGAAGACATTATGATAGACTTCCCCGTTTCTCCAACTCTCCTTAGAGTAGTCAGAGTATTTAGGATAGGAAGAATTTTACGATTGATAAAAGTAAGTAAAAGGAAACTGAAATTAATCGAGACGCGAGTTTCTTTCGAACCATTTCCCGTGTTCCGACCGACTAATGTAATCATCTTTTATAGGCTGCCAAAGGTATAAGGAAGCTACTTTTCGCGTTAATAGTGTCCCTTCCCGCTTTGTTCAACATCGGGGCCCTTCTCGCTCTGATAACCTTCATATACGCCATTATCGGTATGTTTCTTTTCGGTCACGTTCGTCAACAGGGCGCCCTCGACGATATGGTGAATTTCGAAACGTTCGGAAGGTCCATGCACCTTCTGTTTCGACTAATAACATCAGCCGGTAGGTCCCCTATTCGCGTCCCATCGAATTTTAATAAAACCCCTTCTATTTTCTTGCATAGGTTGGAACGACGTGTTAGAATCGCTAATGATCGAATATCCAGACTGTGATCCAAGTTATAGAAATCAGAGTAACGGTGATTGTGGTTATCCACTTCTAGCAATAATATATTTTAGTAGTTTTATTATTATAAATTATATGATAGTCATTAACATGTACATCGCGATCATCCTCGAGAATTTCAATCAAGCTCATCAGGAGGAAGAGATCGGCATCGTCGAAGACGATTTGGAGATGTTCTACATCAGGTGGAGCAAGTAAGTCCATACCAATTTATCTAATTCACATTTTTTTAATGCGTTATATTACCAGATATGATCCACACGCGACGCAATTCATCCGGTTCACGCAACTATCGGACTTCATAGCCTCTCTGGACCCTCCTCTGGGCATATCCAAACCCAACACTGTGGCTTTGGTGAGCTTCAACTTGCCCATAGCCAAAGGCAACAAGATCCATTGCCTGGACATCCTGCACGCGCTGGTCAAACACGTGCTGGGCCACGTCGAAGAGACTGAGAACTTCCGGCAGCTGCAAGAGCAGATGAGCATCAAATTCAAGAAGCAATTCCCCACTAGAAAAGAACTGGAAATCGTCTCGTCCACCAGGATATGGAAGCGACAGGACAAGGCGGCCAGGCTCATCCAGAAGACTTACAAGGATTTCGTTAAGTGAGCAAACGATGCGTTAAATTAGCCATTTGCAAATGTATAACGGAAACGTTTGGCAGGCGCAAGAAGGACGCGGAACGCGAACAAGAAGACGAAACGACGCAGACGTCGTCGCCGGGCACCGGCTGGCAGGGCAAGCTGTCGGCCTTCCTGCACGTGCATCGAGGGAGTCGCGCATCCTCTCGCAAGTCCTCCAGGGCGTCAGACGCCAGCGACCTCAGCGAGCTGGGCGGACCGTGGTTGAATCTGCCGCTGCTGTTGCTCTCCGGCGCCACCAACATGTCCCCCGAGGAATTGGATTTGACGCGCGACGCCGCCGATGTCAGCATCAAGGTCAGCGAGGCCACGCCGGAATCCGGTAAGTACAAACCGTTCCACTAACGGTGGGTTGTGGAGCATATAGAGAAGAAGAAATCCAGCAATTGTGCCAGAGGTCAGTGATTAGCCAGAAGGTTAAGATAAACTGACGAGTTCGTTTGGTTTCTTGTTAAGAACGAACTGAAGAATAATTGTTCTGAGCTGATGAATAAAGAGGAGATGGTAAGAAGAGCTAACTTTCCTTAGAATAGGAAGATTCCAGAGTGGTACAGAAAAGTGAAGTACCTTTGTTGGTCATGTACCTCCACTCTAGTATTGAGGAACATTGGAAAATTCCTCCAAGTGAGCTTATTAACGTGTGCAGGAACGACGCCGGTGACGCCGACGCCGTCTTCGCAGCCGCGCCGCCGGAGCGTCTACAGCTTCCCGTTCTTCCTGCGCCACCAGGACGCCGTGGAGAGGCCGGACGACAAGACGTCGCCTCTGCTGGGCCACAAAGAGCTGAAGGCGTCTCAGACGCTGCACCCGGTCGCGGTGGACGAGTCGAAGCAGAAGCGGGGCAGCATTGTGCGAAGGAAGAAGGGCAGCTCGGTGAAGTCTCGTCCGAATTCGATGACGGGCGGCGGGTGCCAGAGGACGCAGTCGGAGAAGTGCACGAGGTACAAACGGCGGTCGGTGAAGCGCCTTAGTGCGGTGTAATTGATGGTTTCAGTTTCAGTACGGACGTTAGCATACTGGTGACGGACGCTTCGCCGGAAAGCAACATCACGAGGCCGTCGTTGAACAGGCAAAACAGCGAGTCGACTATAGTGCAGGTGCTGGTGCACAGGGAAAGCGAGGAATACAATAACGAGGAAGAGGAGGAGATGACTTGTTCGAAGATAGCTGAAGACGAAGATGTTGCTGGCCCACCGGAAGTAGAAAGCGCGCCAACTGACGTAGTTGTAGACATTAAAGATGAGGATGAATTGTGCAGCTGATCTTTGCTGAACGACCAAAATGTTTCGGGCTAAATAGGAGTACTTGTTTGATTTGCGATGAGCATTCGAAACTTTGGGTAAACTGTTAAAACGGCGCGAGTTCTCAAGATGTATGAAACGTTAGAGTTTCGAATGCCTCTCGGCAATTTGTTTTTAAATGTCCGAAATTGTTGTTGTAATATATTAGTAGTTAGGATGAGTAAAAGTGAGAGTTACAGGGCATATTGTATCACCTTATTGTCGAATTCGTTTTTAATGACAATCAATATTATGTTATGGTGGAGATTTTATTAAATTTATTGTTTCATTGGGGCCAAACCATTTTACCTTTTTGACTGTAAGTAATTGTTAATTTATTAGTAAGCTGGTTTACTTACCTATTTTATTATAACTTATTTATAGTTTAAAAATCGACTATTGCCTTTACAATTTTATTCCAGATATTTAAGAAAAAATGCCTAGTTAAATAATGCTTGCAGCTTGTTGTAGTGTCTTGTATATAAATCAAAAATGTACCGGTTATAAACTTCCATGTAAAATTAGAAATAACGTCATACAGTATGCTCGAATTTTTGATATTAGCCTATTTAAGTTCGTTATTGAATGCCTTCGTGTTTAGAGAAAAAAGGTTCCTATTTGATAGATTTTAAAATACGCCTTGCAGTTTTACATACTCGTAGTTTTAGATTCGTTAGTTCTTAATTCGAGGGACGATTTTACGATAAACACGACGCCGATTTTCGTTAACTTATGACAAAGCAGTAGATTAAATTCTAAAAGATGAAATAAAATATGTAGATTGCCCAAGGCATTCGAAATTTTTACCTATTAATTATTTCGACAAAAATACGAGTAAAATAGAACGTTTGAAGTGCTCTGAAATTGTTTTGATTACCTCGATTACTGGCTTGAAAAATTGTTGAAAAATTTTTATTAATCTACCAATTTTAAAAATATATCAAGTTAACTGAAAGAGTAATCTTCAAATTTGAATTTTATCAGTATTTTTGCTGAATATAAGTATAGTGAAATTTTAAAGTTGCTAGTTATAGTTCAAATTTTATTTCATGTTACATATGAATATAGAAACGCAGGTTATTCTAAGGTCAATTATTATAAAAGATGTTGTTAATTTATTAAATGAATTATGAGAAAATTGTACCTATACAATCATAAAGAGTTTTAGAATAGATTATATAAATTAGCATTTTACTTTGTTTTCGACTTCTTATAGTACGCTTGGGTTTTTACCAGTTGTTTTATCTTTACTTATAAAAACGACAAATAAAATTATAGTTACATAATCAGAGGTGTTTTATCTATATACAGGTTGTCCCGGGAAATAAAAAGAAATTGAAGTCTACCCAAGAAATCATGCTCTTGAAATTTCCACAGAAAGTAGATTGCATTTTCTTTAATTATGAAAAGTTTACATACATAAATTCTAACTTATGCTGTCATACTAGCTACGAAACTATTATCTTCATTGTCAACTACTTGAGAACCAGGAATTCGAGCAGGATTCTAAAAATTTAATAAAATAATAGTTAAATAAATTCATAATTGAATTAATTGAATGGAACAAAATAAATTCTTACCAATAATTTGGCCCGATCTTCCAATAATCCATAGGCAAAATGATTCAGAATTAAGCTCCTTGGTAACGCAACACCTTGGAATCTATAAATATGCCCATCGGGAATATCAGTATTCAATTTAATAACATTAGCAATGGTTATTCTCCCCATATGGTTAGTATTAGGTATCATAGGTCCTTTGGATATATCTATGTGTGTACCGGCTCTGAATAATGTAACTTTATCATCGTTATTTTCCGCTATGTCCGGAATTTGTTTGGTTTTATGAGGATTCTCTTTGAAAATCTCGAATGCCACGTCTTTCGAAACATCCAAGTGCTCGATCGGTAGTTCTTTCTGGCAAAATTTAATCATTTCCAACGATAATACTTTTAACTCCGAAGCTGTGGGTTTCCAGTCTTCGAGTTCCAACTGTACATCGTAAACAAAACTTCCAGATTTCACTAAAAACACTCGAATTAACTGAGGACTTGATACAACGAAATAGCTTCTTACCGTTAGGACTAGGAAAACTATGCAAATGTAATTTAATGTTATCTTTAAATGCCTGCGAGACTACAGCACCCATAAGGAAACTGCAACTTCTCCAAAACGTTTTATTCACTAAAACCGGGTTCGGTGATTGATAATGGAGGAATTGGAGTTTGCAAGTGTCCGGAATCGGTTTGTGCATGTGCCATAAAGTTTCCCCATTTAATAAAGCTACAACCGACATATTGCTCACTGTATCTCCCAAATCTACGAGAAAAAAATGTATAAACCAATTGCATAATGTGAGTATAATAGAAGTCTTTACGTCTAGCACAATCGAATGGGGTAGAAATATTTTTATTCATGATCAAAACTTCATTGGATTCGGGCTGTGGTCCTTCGTAGTTGATGCTGATTTTCTCAATTCTACCAACAGCCTGCCTTTGTCGGGACTTCTCGTTCGTGAAAATTTCATTCTGACGTTCAATTTCGCTCGATAAATGTCCTAAAATGGATACATTTAATCAACGGTTTTTGTGTATGAAAAATGGTCTTACTTTTCACGTAGTTGAAAACTGTTCTTCGCATTCGTTTATTGAGCGTTTGTAGAGAATTCATATTTGAGATAAATTCCTGTTTTGTACGTTAAAATCAGTTTAATTTCATATATTGTAACCTTAATTATGACATGCCTACTTGAGGTTATGTTTTGATGTGATATGTCAGTTTTTCTACCATTTTGTTTAAACTTTTCTGGCCTTTGACTATTAAAGAAAACGTTTAGCCTTTTCAGTTGATTCAGGAATATAATCTATTAAATGTTAGATTATCCCTTTTTAAACATTTTGATGTAAATGAGTGTGTACCATTAATTGTCTAATTGACTCGTTGTAAAATAAGAAATAATAAAAATCAAGGATTTACTGAATTTTATGCAACCACCATTTCAAATGCCATTCTTGATATTTTCCAAAAATTCTGAAAAAGCTAAAAATAGAAAAATATAACTAAATATAGAGCTTTTTATATCATTTTGAAAATTTATTAACAACCTATTTGACATAAATTTAATTAAGAGCATAGTTTTCTAAATTGTAATTTACAATTCTTTAACCACTCTGATAAAACAATTAAACATCTAAAAAAACAGAGATGAAAACCTAATATCACATGGGTAATATCTTTAAGTTCTACACACATTTATTCAAATCTACTATCTACTAATCTACTAGCAAAATAGGCCATAAATCATCACTTAAAGTACTTCATCAAACATATTGACAACGCAGCGTTAGAAATGAAAGGAATCCCCTGTCCCCGGGTTCCGGACTCCTCCGGCAACGTTGTTAGCTCGTACCGCGGTGGTACCTTCAACAGTGACGAGCGGCGAGCTAGAGCTAGCTGGGCAACATCGGTACCATTCCCATTACCTTCGGCGTTGGAGATAACAAAAGATTTCGACAATACGGTAGTCGTTTTTGTGCCACGGGAGGCTTACCAGTTCCAAGATGTCGATTAGCAGAATGCAAGCATTAAGTGCCGACGTTATGATATTAAAGTACCGTACGACATGAGATCATTTTTCCGAGTAACATGAACGAATCGGTTGTTATTAGTTTTAGTGTTAACTCGTGACAGTTTCAAAGGTAAATTACTAGTTACATATTATACACCTTATAGGTACTGCCTATAAGTACTTACTCTATTTGTTTTATGTATTTTGGTAGGAAAGATTTTTGTAATAAAAAATAAACATAGGTGTTAACAATAAACGGTATTTTTTTAATTATCAATTCAATAGGAATTCTTTTAAACAATCTTTTAACTTTCTTTTTTTTTCGAATAAGCGCATATATTTAGGAATTTTAACAATGGGGAAAGTTTGCAAACTGGCTTCATGAATTAGAAAAGTTGGTTAATTAATTTCTATGTTGATTTATTGATAAACAAGAAACCAGAAATTACACATTGCCGAGTGCTCTTCATAAATAAATGCCAACGTGATTGTTTACATAAAACGTTATTGTAGCTCAGTAGGTACTCAACATTTATTAACGCACAATAATTTGTATTTAAAACTCAAGTTTTTTACAATTTCACCTCTTTTGAAGAAAGTGAAAGTTTAAAAAAATCTGTAGAAATTAGAAAACACACATACACAATCGAATGTAACCACTATTTGATATTAATTCTTATATTATTTTAGGTAGCTTTATTAAAATGGACCCGGGTATAATTTGTTTCCAACATTGCGGTCCGAAAGTATTTTGCTTTACACTGCCAGAATCTTGCCCCACTTGCCACCAAGATTTAAACGCCGCCGATTTTTCTCTCTTGCCATTTAGGTAAGTCTTCACTAACATATTTATAATCAAGAAATAGCGCAGGTCATCTATCTAGCTATTTCTATCGCACTGTACGTATTAACTAACTCTATTTGAAATGTTTTAGAGTTCCTTATCCGTTCATCAAAGCATCCCAGTACCCATGCGCTGTAGTAATTAAACCAACCACCGGTGATTTTCTAAAGTAAGTCTCACCCTCCAATGCTAACAATTTCACCAAACCAGCACTCGCCTTTCAGCGACTACCACAATTCCAAAGATCTGCACATAGGAGTCACCACGTCGGACGGAAGGGTGGTGGAATTCGACCGGCAAGGGCTGCGCAACCACAGAAGCGCCCACTGGAACCAATGCCTGCTGCTGGAGCAGGCGCCGGGGCCTTGGTGGGAGCACTGGGACGAGGTGCTGGGCGCCGTGAGCGCCCAGACGTGCTGGTCGCCGGAGATATACCGCGAGGACACGCACAATTGCTTCTCCTTCGTCCTGACGTTCCTGGTCACCTTGGGCTACGGGAAGCTCAGCGGCGCCGCTAAATGCAAGACGGTGTTTTGCGAGAACTTCATCATACCTCGGACGAGCTCGGCGGGGAAGTACATCTCGTTGTACAGAAGGTTGAAGAACGGAGTGTACGTCCACCGGATCCAGTAGCCGGTTAAGAAGTAAATTGTGTTTGTCAGTATTATATTTATATCGTAGTAAATTGATGAATTAGTTCCTAATTAAGGTTGAAATTATTAACATTAATTTTTGGTGGAAAAATTTAACATGTTGTTCTTCGTTTTAAATTATTATTATTATTTTTTGATATTGTACGCTTATTTAAGAATCATATTTATATTTTTTGTTAGATTATACTATAGAAATGAGCACCACAGCATTATTATCTATATACCTACGTGTATGTGAATATTATGTAATTTTTAATTTAATAAAATATTGGTTATACTGTTTTTATTAAATTTGATTTCAATTTCCCTTTTATCAGTAATATACCCTAGTTCTAACTCGGTTTCTTTTTCTCTATTTTTTATCAATAGACCACTGATATTTGCTATTATTATGATATTAACTATTGAATATCCTCATAGAAAATATTCTTTATTTTAAAAACCTGAGTACCTAGTCTACCCAAATTACTATGATAACCAAACATCAAGTGTGAAGAAAATAGTAAAATCGGGAACTTGTTACTCATTCATTATCGAGTTCAACAGTATAAAGTGCGTTTTGCAAATATTTATTTAAATTGTTTACGTAAATTAAATTTACTCGCAGGTCTATCGAGTTCAATGTCATTATTGCTGCTCTGTAAGTTGATATACTAAACAGAAAAAAATTGCCACTAATATTATGCACTTTGATTCGTTACCTAATTTGATAGGTGGATACTAAATAAAATTTATAAAGAGCAATTTAAGAAATCTTTCGGATTAGATAAAGTCTTCACTTTCCTTTCTTATCGGATAATCAGCAGAGCGTATAAGGTGCGAATTTAATTTTTATCGGGATTCAAATCTTATAAATAACATCACAAGTACCAGTATTCGATTATTTTTATCTGTTATTGATGTCTAAAAGTCTAGATAAGTAAATCATTCAAACAAAGTTGCAATGGAATTATGCATAACATGCAATTAGCAATTTATTTACAATATTTCCACATTTTACTCTTGCTAATTACCATCAGGATTACCGACCCAAGGATATTTATTTGGACAAGACGTGCAAATAAAGAAGGTGTATTGATCATCATCTTTTTTCACTAAGCACTTCTTTTTATCACAATTCGCAACAGGGCCGGTACTAGTTTCAGTTTTGAAATTCGCCGTTTTCACTGGGTTTCGTATCCATTCGTACACCTAGAAAGTTTGTATATTGGTTAGTTTAAAACATACAGAGCTTAAAGGATAGGTAGGAATATCATACTAACTTGCTTCTGGGTAACAAAGAAGACATCCTTCTTCAAAGACATGTTAGTCATGAATTGCTTAAAAGCATCCACGCTATTCTCAGTGGAATTGAACCAACCGGAATCTATCATAAGGGTTAAAGGAATTTTGGTAGAATTACGAATATCTTCCACTTGTCCGGTTAACCAGTCGGATATGACCTTAGATGAGCCCCTAACGAAACCACCAATATAAATTAAATTGAAACAATTTCAGCTATTTAACCTACTCTATCGTGCAACTGGAAATAACGTTGCAATCCTTCCCGTTCTCGCCGGATAACTCGTTAATGGGCAGCACCCAAAAACCGGGGTACGAATTTTTCGGGCACTTGGCCCCCAAAATGCACTCTTCGGTGGACATGAAATCCAGAGTATACGGGAACATTCTTCTTGAGGCCAACGAAGGCCAAGAGCTGTCGTAAGTCAACTTGGATTTCACGTAGGCTTGGAAGGAATTATCACCTGCGAGCTGGAGCTGCGGAGTCCTGACGCCCAAGATGCTCGATTCGGGAATATTGGCGAATTTGGTCAGGATGTGCTTCTGTCCGCTGAATTCTTGCACGAGGAGATCCGCTGTGGCGTTCCTCCAGTACTTTTGCGAAAAATATTTGCTGTAAAAGTAGCCTTACAATGTAGCATTCATCGTAATTTATCTTCAATGCGGGTATACCTGATGGAATTAACGCCGATTTCGAATCCCGAATTGTACAAATCGTTTACTCTTTGGTAGTTTGTGTACTCGTGCGGTACGAAGAAAGTGGCCCCGATGGGTTTGTTATCAGGATTTTTGGAGTTGAATAAAAGAGGACTCAAGTACTTGTTGTATATATCATCGGTAATAGCATCGTCGAAAGTTAAACTTATAAGCTAAAATAAAGTATAGTGGCAATTTATGGTACAATCCGTTTAATAAAATCTTACTTGTGGCCAATCGTCGAGCTTTCCAGTCAAAGGGGATGGACTGTTGGAGCATCTGCAATTCTTGGCAATGGTGCACTTGCCATCATTGCAGGAATCTGCAATGTCCAAGCACAAAGCTGATCGGGCAACAGCGAATGTAATGAATACGGTGAGCAAGCACTTCATTTTTACGACTGAAAAACTCTATCGAAAAATAGAATTTTTATAGGTAAATAGTGCCTACGTCATATCTGAACTACTGATGTTACTACTGATGCAGTTCGTAAAAAGAATTTTGGGATTTATTGTAGATAAAATTGAAGTGTTTCTACTTATTTAGAATTGATGGAATAATGGAGTACTCATATCCTGCATGTCTATCCGAATGTCGTATCCTGCGTATAATGTCTTGCATGTTTCATAGGACATTTCTGAAAATAATAATTATTTTCTTATTTCTATTATTATATTTACATAATTCTGAAATTTATTAATGAGTGATTTTTCACTGATGAGTTTAAATAATGATCCATCAAATTTCTACAGATGTACGGCGAATAATTTGGTCTTTATTGATAATTCCAATTAATTTTTATTTTCTATCGAACGTGACTATACTGGAATCATTTTCTATAGCCTTTACAAACAGGGTTACACAGTCCATGATTATTATCTAAAATAATCAAGAAAAAGTAGACTTTTAATGTCGTAAAACATATATCAAAAGTCTATATTTAAACCGATAGGTTCGATTAAATTATTAATTACCTAACAATTATCCTATCAGACACACTAAATTGTAAGGTTTAATTTTCTTTATCTAGAAATGATCTTAAGTCTGTTACTTACTGATATAATTTATCTTTGATTTTTAAACTTTTCCAAGTAAATTAAATATCTAAAAAAATGCAGCATATAGGAAAAATTTTTTACAACCCAAATAAAAATCTATATAAAACAACACGTTTATTCACAATTAAAGTAACAATATGTCTTTAATAATAGCAGTATTATCTAATTACCATCCGGATTACCAAGCCAAGGGTACTGGTTCGGGCAAGAGGTACAAATATAAAACGTCACCGACTCCTTCCCATTTTTAAGCGAGCATTTCTTTGGATCGCAATTCGCCGCAGGAGGCATCGTCTCCGTTTTAAAAGCGGCCAATTTCACCGGATTTTTCATGTAGTTTAAGGCCTGGAAATAACCGAACCAATCACATTTTCGTTCCACAATATAATCCACTCGAGATAACTAATCTCCTTACCTGTCGTTGCGTAACGAAAAACACGTCCTTTCTACTAGTCATAGTGTTCATAAACTGCAGGAAACCTTCTTCACTATTCGCTGTAGAATTGAACCAAGACTTGCTCAACATAAGCGTCAAAGGAGCCCTGGATGTTTTAGCTATATCATCTACTTCCTTAACCAGCCATTCTGATATTTGTTGAGCAGTACCTCTAAAATTAAAGAGCTCATAACCGAGTCTATTATTAATAACATTGAGACTTACTCCACATTACACCCTTTAATTACATTGCAACCTTCCCCATCGGCTCCGGTTAATTCGTTGATGGGAAGCACCCAGAAGCCCGGGAAAGAGCTGTTGGGGCATTTGGCGCCTAGAAGACACTCCTGGGTCGATGCGAAATCTAGAGTGTAAGGGAACAATCTAGTCGATGGTAAAGAAGGCCAGGAGCTGTCGTATAACAATTTGGCTTTGATGAAGGCATCGATGGAATTGTCGCCGGCTAATTGAAGCTCAGGCGTTCGCACTCCCATGATTTGTTCCTCGGGAATACTCGCGAATTTGTTGATAATATGCTTCTGGCCGGAGAATTCCTGCACCAGTTGGTCCACCGTGGCCGTTCTCCAATATTTCTGCAGAGGATTCTTCCTGTAAACGTTCGATTGAGTTAAGAAGTACAATTTGGATTTTAACGCTTACGTAATGGAATTGACGCCGATTTCGAAGCCATAGTTGTACAAATTGTTGACTATCTGGTAGTTCGTGTACTCGTGGGGAACGAAGAAAGTTGCTCCAATGGGCTTCTTATCGGGATTTTTGTAGTTGAACAGTAAAGGATCTAAGTAGGTATCGTAGAGGTCTTTGGTAATGGCATCGTCGAAGGTCAGACTTACGAGCTGAAATAGTAAAATAGTAAAGTTACACTCTTATTGAATGTTCAATGTAGCTTACTTGAGGCCAGTCAGTTAACTTTCCGGTAAAAGGCGATGCACCGTTGGAACACCTGCAATTCTTGGCTATGCTGCACTTGCTATCGACGCAAGCGTCATTGGCCAAGCTGGACGCTGCTTGGACAAGCACCAGTACTACACACACGAATTGTATGTACTTCATTTCGTGCAAGAATTGCGCAAGGGATATCAAGAAGCAGGTTTTTATACAGTGTTAATTAAGTACCTCATTATAATATCTATCGCTTATCGATACGCCTTGTAACATATAATAATTTAGGATCTGGTTCTGTTTGTTGTCTTTGAGATTTGTAGATTAGGAAAAAATCGAGCATTTAAGAAGATTACCGTTGTTTAACTAAAATGAATTGAGTACTGTATCCGTTGTAGATAAATAATTTATTCATAAAATATTTACTTTGTGCGATTATATGAAAATGGCAAAGTTGTATTTTTATTGCAAGCTTATTGTAGTTTGTGTTGGTGCTTAAAAATGTTCATGATGAAGCGTTAGTTATCAAAATTGGCCTTAAGGTGCGAATGTGACACTTTCGAGTGGACTGAATTTCGAAAATAAATAGTATACATCACTAACTGTCAATTGATTTGTCCTTTTGGCACTTTTTTTATCTTATTTAATTTTACTATTTTCTTAAATATGTTAATTGCCTAATTAAATAAAAAGTTAACCAAAATCAAATAAACCGTAAGATGGAGCCGTCGACATCGATGAACAGCGTCGTAGTGAATAATTACATTAAACCTGTGAACATATTCTACGTCTGGTACCAGGAGCTCTGCCGTCGAATGAACTGTACCCCGTCGCCGCTGGTGAAACCGGCCAAGCTGAAGAGCTCCACCGTCCTGGACTTCGTCGGCGACCGCCTCAAAGTGGAGGACTGGGCGCCCATAGTGAACGCCCTGCGGCACGACACCAGCCTGCACGTCATTAGTATTAGGAGCCGGCTGTCCAACGGCGAGTTTCTCTACGACGTGGACACCGAAGAGAAGGCGAAGCGCATGAAGAGGCGATTCGGCAGCCTGCGCACCGCTTACGTCCTACATCAGCTCACCAATGCCCTTTGCCACACGCTGAAGAAAACCGAAGTCCTCAACTACTTCGAATTGGACGGCATACCGTTGGACGTCGACATCATCAAGCCGCTCTTCCAGGCCTTGAAGAAGAACGAAACCGTCAAGCACCTGTCTTTCGCCAACACCGCCATCAAGGACAAAGGGTGCGAGCTGCTGTGCCGCTACCTGCGGGACGTTCCGAACGTCGAGGTCATCAACATATCCGGCTGCGAGCTGACGCCGCCCAGCGGCGAGCACCTAGGCAAGTTCATCAAATACCAACAGATAAACAGATACTGCGAGAGTTGGCATCAATCGTTGCGCTACGGGAATCCTACACAGAGACCGATGAAAGGACTGAAGCGGATCATCATGAACAGCAATCCGAATTTCGGCGACGAGGGGTTGGATTTCATCCTCGAGGAATTGGAGGACGATTTGTGGATAAAAGCGATCGATCTACAGCGATGCGGTATAACCGAAAATCTGGCCAGCAAAGTTACTAGTATCGTGGAAAAGAGTAGATCGCTGGAAATCATGGATCTGAGACAAAACGAGCAATTGGGTATCGAAGTGGTGCTGAACATCGTGAAGATACTGCACGACAAACAGAGCAATTACACGCCGGAATTCCAATGGTGCGAATCCGCTGTGACGTTAGCAATGGAATCCATCGGTGGGTCCACTTTCTCCATGGCCACCATGCTGCACAAGACCAAATCGGCGCCGGCAAAGCACTTTTCCCCGTCGAGCGCCGGACTGAGTTCGATCAGAAAATCCAGAACTTTGGATAACATCTCTAAATCGTCGGCGCCGCCGAGGAATGTAATATCCGAATTGAACGTCAAACTTCAATCCGAAATCCAGAAGCGAAAATCCGTGGAAAAGGTCAACGAGGAACTCAAGCAGAAACTGGAGAAAGTGGAAAGCTGCAAAGAAGTAGCACCGACGAAAAGCGATACCAAGAAAACTCTAAAAGTAGTAGTCGGCAGTAAATGCGAAAAAAAATCGACGATTCTGAAGCACAAGGAATCGAAGACCAAAAACGGATTCCAGCCGGTCGTGTTGAAGCCTCTCCTCAGCACGACCGATCGCACCACTTTCAAGCTGAAAAACGGCGTGAAGAAGGAAAAGCGGCCGTTGAACGGGTTCAAAAACGGCATCTCATCCAACGCCAACACCAACGCGAACGCCAACGCCAACGACAAGGCTAACTCGCTATTTTCGAGCATGCTGGGAAAAGGCGGCGACCAAGTCGAAGACGACGACGACGACGCGAAGAACGACGAGGAACTGATCGATTACTTCGTGAACAAGAATTGCGTCGAGCCGGAGACGGAGAGCCAGCTGTCAGCCGGCAGCCAGGACTCGCTCTACAGGTACATGGACCAGCTTCAAAGTTGCGAAGCCAATTGCACGACAGCCAGCAGCTAGACGGGAGCCCTAACATTGCGTCTTTCCATATAGGCCTAATTAGTATATATTTAGTAGATGCGCGCGAACCTATCCTATATTTTTTTGTTCTCGGCGATTCTGAAATTTCTCAATGCAGATATATCGGAAGTTTTAGAGATACAAAATTATATTTTATATTGGTGGTATATGGAACGACCGATTTTTGTACTTTTTCTATATAGACTAATGAACAATATCAGTGCACTGCTAATTAGTTAATCTAACTTTAAAATATTCCTAGAATACGTTAAATCTAGGAAGGAATTTTACTGTAATGACTTTTCTTATGTAATAAAGTATCTACCACTGATTTTGCTATTTTTTACACACTATTTCATATTAGGGGGGAGTCATTTGAAAAATTAAATTATTGAAATAGCATTTACCATGCCTTTAGAAATAAGTAAAAATTTCCCTACACTTTCTATAATCTCTATACTCTCTATACTCTCTGTACTCTATATACCCTCTATACTCTCCATACCCTCTACTATCTATATGCTCTATATTCTATACTCTATAGTCCATACTCTATAGTCCTCTCTGCTGTCTTTAGTCTATACTAATCCACACTACCTTGCAATAAAATGCTTTCATTACAAATATTACATACATTTATAATTTCTCAATTTGTAGAAATTGAATCTAAGTTTTCAAGTACCTGCTTAATTAATTTTTCCCGTAAGAGAATAAGGTTAAAGTATAACTCAAGGATTATTGTAATTTGACACAATGTTTTCGTTTTAAATCGATATTTCCGAGAATTTAGTTCCTACTATTGTGGAATTAGAGTACTGCTCTCTAGATCTAGCTCTATTTGCGATTTTATACTTACCCTGTAATGTTTATTATTTACCTTGTGTTATTTTATATTTTCTTTTCTATTTGCCAATTTTCCGATTTCCGCTATTATGCGTCGAATTATTTAATTACCGCGATTAAATCATGGACTCGGTCAACGCGGAAACGGTTGTAGCGCGGTGTTATGATACAAAATCGCCGGCAATGAACTTTTCTTTAAACAAATTGCGATTCAAGTTCGGTGGTATTTTGGCAATCCCTCACGTATCGGTCAACATTCTAGGCGTATAAAAGGAAAATATTCTGCGAAATATTTCATAAGTTTTTGGTTGCAATTTAGTAATACCTGCTTGAAGGATTTTGGAGAAAATGAATCCGAAATTGGTGGTTTTGGGTTTGGTGATTGTTTGTGCTGTTTCTGTGGTAAGTTTAATTTTTGTTTCAAGTTATTACTTATTCTCTTTGATGAATGAATACAAAATAATCAATTTGTCTCGGTATTGTAAGAAATTGAAATGAGTTATTTGTTATTTCCAGTACCAAAGATCACATTATCGCAAATTTTTGTAAATCATTACATTATCAATTCTAAAAATCGGTAATGTATTTTAAATTCTCAGAATTTTATAAAAAAAGTATTAAAAAAATGATTATCTAAATAGATTATAAGAACATACTCAAATATTTGTCAGCTATTTTAAAAATATATATAACAGGATATCTTGAGATTATTTTAATTCTCTCTCATATCTACTATCTGCTAAAATAAGCACCCAATTTTTATTATACCTACAATGCAACTGAAGTAACTGTGAACAGTGTGAACGTAATCTTTGCAACCCAAATCCAACTGAACCTTCTTAATATTACAATTCTATATAGACTTATATACACTTAGTTTTCTTCATCGAGTATCAAGTATCATCATATCTAAGGCTCATATTGTTTACTTTTCCAGCAATCATTCAAATACAAGCATCATTACCCTCACTACTATGGAGGCGACTGCGATTGCGACGGGTACCCTGACTACAGAGGAGGTCCTTGCTGCGATGGCGGTTATCCTTGCGGCGGTTACGCGGGCCCCTGGGCTCCCGGTACTTACCCGCCGAACCCTTGCGGTACTGTACACGTTTCGCCGGTGGTCGGATTGCTGAGCAAGATGAAGGCCAAGGTCGTTGCCAAATTGTGCGATGACGACTGGGGCTACGGAGGATGCGGTGGATGCGGCCATGGATGTAAAGGAGGCAAGAAGTGCAAGTGGCTACACAGCCCTTACTTGTGGAAGAGATACTGGGCCGCCAACAAATACTGTTAAATTTCGTTTTAAAATTTTTGAATAATAAATTTATGTTGATTTGAGCTGAATAATTAATGAGTCAAGTCTTCTTTTTTTATAACGCAAACAACAGAATGACAACTATGAACTGTGACAGATGACAGATTTATTGACATATTGACTAATAAATTAAAAATTGGTGGAGTGAACTGCGATTGTGAAAAATATTTCTAGTTTGCGTTATTTATCGATATTCTTTCGAAGAAAATTTAAAGTTTATTTGTATATTAATCACCATAAGGCTAAATTCTGTTCGGTCATCCGTGAATATCGAAGATGGGGGCCGTGTTTGGTCTTTTCTCAGCTGCGCAGGTAAACAAAGACAATACAAAAACAAACAAACCCAACAGATGATATCACATTTATAAAGACATCGTCTAATTTTAGAAACAATTCAATTTAATCTAATGTTTATAGCTCACTTAACGCGCAATAAACAAAATCTTTTAACTATGTATAAAAATTGTTGTAGCTGGCGTGCTGTTGCACAAGCACAGCATGCTCATTATGCTGCTCGGCATGTCCTACATGCAGGAATTCGACGTCCTCTCGTATCATGTACGCCCTAATGTTACTCGTTACCACCGTAGCAGCTTGTATTACATTGTCTCCAGGTCTCGAGAGCACCCTTAAAAAGGTATAGAAGACTATAACTAGCCTTGCTAAATCTCTTTAGAATTGAGTGGAATGTTTAAAGGGAAATTTTTGTAGGTACCTTTTTGCAAAAATGACTCCTATCTGATACCGAAAACATTCGATTGCGAGCACGCCGTTGGATATTTAGCTGTATACAGGATCTGCTTCATATTGACATGTTTCTTTGCATTAATGGCTCTTATGATGATTGGAGTTAAGACCTCGAAAGATGCTAGAGCGGGTATACAAAATGGGTATGGGTATTAATTTTTTGGAGAATTTCCAGATATTTTAGTTGATAATTTTGTAGATTTTGGGGTATAAAGTTTCTGTTGGTTATCGGTGGGGTGATCGGATCGTTTTTCATACCAGAAGGCTCGTTCGGTACCACTTGGATGTACTTCGGAATGATAGGAGGCTTCTTGTTCATTCTGATCCAGCTGATTCTGATTATAGACTTCGCCCATTCCTGGGCGGAAAGTTGGGTTGGGAATTTCGAAGAATCTGAGTCGAGAGGATGGTACTGCGCTCTAATCGGAATGACATTATTCAATTACATTCTGAGCATCGCTTGGATCGTACTACTGTACGTTTTCTACACTAAAGTAAGTGAAATGTTGCGGTTTGTGTAATTGATTTTGACTCGGTGAATTATTTCAGCCATACGATTGCGGTTTGAATAAATTCTTCATTTCCATCAATTTGATATTCTGCTTCATAGTGAGCGTTCTTTCGATACTACCGGCTGTGCAGGAAAAATTACCCAGATCGGGGCTCTTGCAATCGTCCGTTGTGTCTCTGTATGTGACCTACCTAACTTGGTCTGCTGTATCGAATTCTACAAGTATGTTTAAAACAATTCTTTACCTAATGAAGCATTAATTTATTTATTTTCATAAGAATGCAATCCCGGTTTGTGGGGGATATTCGGCGGTACCGCTCACGACAATCAAAAACCCAACAATGATTTTGATATAATCGGTTTGATAATTTGGATGGCCTGCGTTCTGTACTCGTCCCTCAGGTCTGCCAGCAAATCGTCTAAAATAACTATGTCGGAGAATATGCTAGCTAAAGATACAGGAGCAGGTAATTTTTTTAATATGTTTATAAATAGATATGTAATTTTGAATGCTTGTTAATTAAGATTGCATGTTCGATGAATATTTTTTTGTGTTTCGATACGCTTATACGATTATTCTGTTGTTTGGTTATTTTATCATTTTGAATTTTTGTGAATGGTTATCCTTGGCATTGTGTAGTGTGATATTCTCGATAGTTTACTCGACAATTCGAATTCTAACTTACGTTTTTTTATCTTCAGTAAGAGGCTATGGATCTGATAATTTGGTTGAGAATGAAGGTAGGAATTTGCCGATATTTTCGATATTTTTGTTTTGTTTTTAATTTCCAAATTTAGTGGATGTTGTAGTATGTATTCGTTACTTTTATTATAGAAAAAGGTGGTGCGTTAAAAGATACAAATTGATTTTAATCGATTGTTGTTTTATCTAGAAAAACGTCGAGTGAGAAACGTAGGTACAAAAAGATCAGTTCAACTATCTGAAAACGAGGAACTGTCAGGTAAAACTGAATATTACAGCATCCACTAAGATTCCACTCAAACATATTACACGATTTTCTAATCAGACTGTAAAAAACCATCATAATGCCTCGGGTTATCCACTCTCCCTTCTTCCTCGTTTTAGTTCATTTTTATTTTTCTTTTTCTATGTTATTACCCTCTGTTTTAAAATAAGAAGAACCCTATGCTCCTATCGCAGGTAACGATGGCGGCGAAAGAGGCGAAGGCGGCAGGAAAGTCTGGGATAACGAGGAGGAAACGGTGGCTTACAGCTGGAGCTTTTTCCACGTGATGTTCGCTCTGGCCACTTTGTACGTGATGATGACTCTCACTAACTGGTACAGGTAGGCGTTTTGCATTTCTAGTTATTGTTTTTTTGTGTTAATATTGTATTTGTTTTAGACCGGATACTTCTAATATCGAAAATTTGAACCACAACACCGCCTCGATGTGGGTGAAGGCGATCTCGAGCTGGCTGGCTTTGGCGCTGTATGGTTGGACTTTGGCGGCGCCGGTCGTGTTGAGAGATCGCGAATTTAATTGAGTTTTTTCCCAAACTGAAATAGGGCGTTGTTTTATGATATTCCGCCATTAAGTTTTTATATTATTATACGTTTTTAGATGTTAGAAATTATGTGTACTTGAAGAAATCTCGTCGTTTTCGTCGCAAAATTCGTCGCTGATGCTTGTAGGGGTAGATTATTTCGTATTCGTGTGATATTTTTGTTATTCAAATCGCGTTTGTGATGATAAGTGATTGAGAGGTTCTTGAAATTATTATTCCTTTTACAAGTCCTTTTAAAATGATAATATAACGTCAATTTAAGTGTAAAAGCATACAAATTTGTCCCTGTTTAAAACAAATAATGTTTTCATACCAAATAATAAAGGTTCAATACTGACTATTTTTGTTATTATTTTTATAGCGATTAATTTAGTCGAGTCGTTCATTTTCAGAGTCTATTTATTTCAAAACAATCGAAAAGAAATATAAAACGTACACATGTATGAGTAAACAATTCGCAATTCCTACTAATTAAAGCTAAAATAACATCAAAATCGTAACCTGTTCAACATTGTATAAAAAATTTTTGTGGCAGTTTGTAACAAAATTAATCTAGTATTGCTATTATATAATCTCTTCGCCATCAGGAGATAGTAATAAAAACTAATTTTGTATGCAAAATACAGCTCGAGCGACTCAACGGAAAATAATCATAAAATTCCAAAACTTTTATACTTTTACTATTGTGTATACGTAATGTTTATTTTATTTGTGCCACCCTGTATACAGGGTATTTAATAATAGGCGACCCTTTTCTAATACCAGATAAAGTGACCTGAAGACAGACACAGTCGTGCTTTTATGTGATATTAAATAGGTACTAAAAGCCTAGGGTATAATAAAATTAAAAATTACTTACAATAATTACCATTATTACTTAATACTTAGTTGTACCCACTTTTTATACAGGATGTCCCGCATAAGAACCGGCACAGACCAGGGGCATGTAGGGGAGCCCAAAATATGTTGTTTAACGGGACACCCTGTATATTTGATGCATCTATGATTTACTGCTTCAAGAAAGTTTTACTATCTCCTGATAGCGAACAGAGTATAAGTATTTACGTACAAAAATACTCGCTAAACCTTTCAACTTAATTTTTAACGTGTTGAATTGGCGTAATTTGTACGATTTGTCTACAGTATAAATACGAGGAAATTTCGAATACTGTAAAAGTGTAAAACGAACATCTTTAGGTGCCCACATCTAAGCAGCTAATACTTGACACGTGTCTACGTTGGAACCTTCCATGCGACTAAAATCAGTAATAATATCCGTGTTGGTACCGAAAGCCGATATGCAACCTTCGAAATTCCCATGGAACAATCCGTTGGTCTCGGTTGATAGAACGGTAACGTTCGGTACGCCCCCTATATAAAAATTGCCCGATATGCTGAATTTCACGGTTTTGTCCAGCTTTTTCCGAATCTGGAACGTTCTGTTGTCCAAATTCAGCGTCAGTGTGTCCAAATCGAGTTCCACTTTATGCCACAAACCGTCGGATACTTGCGTGTAGGATGGAATTTCGTAAACTGTTTGCTTGTTTTTCTCCGAAGACATGGCGATTTTCATGAATCCGTTTTCCACACCCAAACCGAAGTAATTTTTTCCCTATAAATATATACGAGGGATGTTTCCAAAGTTTTGTGAATTATGTTCTAATTAAATTACGCACAACTTAGAGCCAATGTTATTGGTAACAGACAAGTCTTGACCTGAATCAAACTGATTAAGTTGCACTGGATAGTTGCATAAACATGTCAAGACGTGTCTACATCAATAAAATCGTCTATAAATTCTGCGTGATTTGATTAGAGCACAAGTCCCAGAACTTTGGAAACATCCCTCGTAATAAGAATATATTTTAACCGCAGTGTTATGCGATAATTAGTTGAACCACATTTGATAAAAAATGGCCTCATCCATATTCTGGACTATAAATATCCCGATACCAGAAATACTTATTTGCATCATTTTATTATTATCCAATTTTTATACATAAAGCTCACCCAATTATTGCATATAACACCTCTACATACCTTCTTATTCCACAACAGCAACCCATTCGGTCTCACAGTAGTAAAATTCAAAAACACTTTAGAAACCTCCTCCCTCAGTTCCCTCTTCTTCTCCCCGACTTTCCTCATCGCCAGGTAGCTCTTCCCGTTGAACTTCGGATTGTTGACAGCTATTTCATTCTCGCAGTACGCCCCCGACCAGCCCACTTGGCAGGTGCACCTGTTATTGATGCACCTGCCTTGGTTCTTGCAGGACTTGTCGTAGCAGCTCGTCAAGTACTGGCACCTGTCGCCGTAGTAAGGGGGCGCGCAGGAGCAGTGCGGCTTCATGAACGAGTCCAGCCAGCAGGTGCCGCCGTTGCGGCAGGCGTCGCCGCCGCAGGGAGTGCCGTCGCAGTCCTGGATGTTCCTGGATTCTCTGACGTTGCTCGATATTAGCGGTAAGGGGGCGTCGTTGATGACCAATCGCCTGATGCAGCCTTTGAAGGGTACCGGTAAGTTGGAGGCGGCGAATAGGGGTAAATTCGACATGTCGGGGAGGCCTCCTATGTAGATGGTTTCTTTGTTGGTGGTTGAAGTGTGACTGATGTCGATTTGGCCGGTGTTAGTCACGTTATCGACTGATAAGTAGACTTTCTTGCCGAATCTTCCCAGTTGGATTTTGTGCCATAAGGCTTTCACTAGTAATTTTGAGCTTCTTACTGTGAGTCCTGATGAGGATACTTTGCTGCTACCTATAAGTAAATGTGTAGTAAAAAAATGCAATTAAATTTGGGCCTTACCAAATTGCATTTTGATTTCCAACAAGCCGTTTTGTAGCGACAAACAGAAGAACCTCAAATCTCTTTTGCCCATGAAGATGATGATTCCTTGGTCTTTCAAAATCCTGATCTCGAACTCCATGTGGAAATTTGTAGCTTCGATTTCGATTGGATTGAGAATGATGTACGATCTGACGCCCGTTAGGCTCACATCGGTAACTTCTTCGTCTGAAAGCAGGCACGTTTCGATAGTATTAACTTAGTGAACTTAGTGAATCTGAAACAAACCTTTATCGCAGTATTTCCCCGTCCTTCCGAAGGGACAATCGCATTCTGCAGAAGACAACAACGGTACGCACCTCGAAGCATCCGAGCACTTGGTGGAGTTGCTATCGCATAAATTCTGCCTGGAGGAGCACAGCGGTCCGAACCAATCGTCTTGGCACAAACACCTAGCAAGACTTCCAGTTAATTACCAGAGCTTTGTTATTATTATGCTTACATGAAAGTGCTGCCGTGGTGCAAACAGGCCCCGTTGTTCTGGCAGCTGCGCTCGTAGCATTCGCTGGTGCCGCATTGTCCCACTGCCCGGCCAAAAGCCTTCATGGGGCCTTGGAACGGTATCAGCACGCTGCCGGATTTCATTTCGAGGTCGTAGATGCACCCGGAGAAGCCCGAGTGCAGCGGTAGGTCGTGGGGCAACGTGGAGAAGTTTCTTACGTCGTATCCACCTGATTGAAGTTAAATTCTTCGAATTGTCCTATTGTTAATTATGTGTATAATTCCTACCTATGTATAAAAGAGGCACTACATCCAATTGCACCAAATTTCCTGGAGTCCTTCCAGTGATATTTCCCAAATTTTCAACGTACAGCCAGGCTCTGCGACCGGAATGCCCAAGTTTTACTGTGTAATCCTTCGCCCCCGGTTTGATGGGTTGGGAAGTAAAAATCCTCCTGGGTCCTAAGCATAAAAACACTCCAGTAAATAACGAAAATGACGCGAGTTTTGGTTTTTTTTTAAACTACCTGAGCCCAAATTCCACGTCAACATAATGTACCCTCTGACGAAGCTGACGGCTATGTGATCGGAGTAAAAATCATGATGGCCCGCTTGACCGATGAATAATAACAGAGAAATTTGCTCGAGAGTCGTCGGCGTGAATTTGAATTTGATTTCCATGTTTTTGGATATCCCAACCGGGAATGGATAGGCCACAAATGAGGATAATCCGTTGACAGAGGACGAGAAATACGGTTGAGTTACTTTCAAATCTAGAGAAAATAAAATGTGTTGAACAATGTTTAATGTTAAACAATGTTTATCTAGCGATGATTACTAATACAGTGTATCCCTGGATGGAGTTGACTTTGCAGAGAGGAACAAATCGTTTTTTATTAAAAAAATAAAAACTTACTTTTTCGTCAAGCAGGACTTTTTATAAAAAATGACATTTCTTCGTAAAATTATTCATAAATTCATCCACAGACACACTAAAATATTTTATATATTTTTCCATTATGATATTATTAATTTATTATTCAATAAGTTACATATTCAATTTAGTACATGTATGACGTCATCGTGCAATTAACTATTGTATACTATATGCATCATTTAAAATTTCTTACCATTTTCACAAAAGTGACCGTGTTTTCCATAAGGACACAAACATATGTATCCACTATTAGTAAACGGTATGCAAGTTCCCCCATAGAGACAAGGATTATCGTCACAAATGGATATATCGCAGGATTTTCCCAAGTACCTGCAACAAATTTATTTTTCGAGTATTTTTTTCGACTCCCGCGTCCTGCAACTCACCCATTTTTACAGTGACATTGCCACACATCCCCCATCGAACTGCACGAAGCGCCGTTCTTGCAGGGGCTGGACAAACAAGCTAACGAGGAGCATTCCGAAACGTCGTAACCATCTTCAGCGTCGTCGTATATTCTCACTTTCTTCACCCCTATCTACAATAACACATACAGTATAAACTTTAATAAAGAACATATAGTGCGATAGTAATGACTGCAGACGAGGCCTGCGCATGGTAATCTCACGTCTATAGCTATTTTTGTGTGAGTGTAAGTAGGTAATACCTTTAAATTCGACATGCAGCCTATGAAACCCCCAACAGGAATTCCGACTTCGTGAATAAGATGAGCGGGAAGGCCGCCTAGGTGAAGCCAGGCAGTAGGTTTGAGGAGTTTGTCAATTTTCGCCAGCTGATCGCCTCTCATTGTGAGGCTATCGTTCACTTTAATAGAGGCGTTGCAGTGCTTGAAATCCTTATCAAAATCCAACCTAAAGCCACAGTAATAAATCTAATATACTGTGCGAATTATTTATACACTTACCCAGCTTTTATATTGATCGGAAACCCGTTATTGATGGGTATCTTCAATTCGCTGAGCAGCATGGTTTGGTAGCCGCAGGAGAATTTGAATTTTAAAAATCCGTTTTCCATGTAGAGCGCCATATACTCGGATTCTATGTTGGAGAAAAACAGAATCCCGTCCGAAGCCATGGACTTGGTTTCGAATTCCACCGACAAATGATAGGATGATATGTGAAGGCGATGGGAGAGGAAAGAATGTCCACTAAACGCCGCTCTTCTCACGCCCAATTTTATTTCGCACAGGGTACCCTCGTAATCGAACGGACACAAGCACTAGAAAATAGTATAGTATAGATTGTTCAAGCTAATTTGATGGTGACCTCATAAACTTATATATTTTTTTCATATACAGGGTGAGTGACGCTGAATGGTTTCAACACTCTTTTAAAATATCTTCAAAACTATTACATTTAAGCACAGGGAAGAATACAAAAACTTCCCTTTTTTATAGGTTTCAATAAAACAGAAAAAATGGGTGGTTCCGTTTAAAAAATTGAGCGTGACTCACCCTGTATAGGTTTCAAAATAATCGCATTAATTTTTAAACTAAATAGATACTGTATTTACCTTATGATATCCCTCAATATAAACGCAAGTACCACCATTCAAACATCTACTCTCTAAATTAGTACAATCGGTACTAATGCGTGTACTAAATTCTTCAGTAGTGGTAGAACTTTCTGTTGTAGTTGAAGAGTATTCAGTTGTACTAGATGAGGTGGTGCTTTTCGAAGGTTCGGTGGTAAAGTAGGGTGAAATGGTTGTACTAGTTTCTTCGGGGAAAGTCCGGTTCCCTTCCTTTCCTATAACAATCGTCGTTTCCTCCATAACTGTAGTAAATTCGGTGGTTTCGAAGGTCGATAGCATGGGAGCGCTGCTGACTTCGACTGAAAATGTACTGGGGAATTGTGAAATGGTACTAGACACGTTTGAGTAGTACGGACTAGTGGAGGTTTCTTGTTGAAATTCGGTGGAATATGTAAATTGTTCGGTAAAGGTTGTACTTTCAGGTGACGTTGCAGTAGAAGTTTCTTCGCTTGTTAAAGATGTAGTACTGGAATAATCAGTGATAGTACTACTGTATTTTTCTGTAGTTATATTTGTTTCGAAATATTCTGTAGTAGAAATAGCAGTACTAAAAGTACTCTCGGTTAGTAAAATCGTGGAAGTTTCGGCGGTAGAGTAAAATGAAATATCTGGTAAGGCAGTCGTTGTTGCGGTACCTTCCGTTACAAATTCACTAGTACTAATTGGCACTTCAGTAGTTGTATAGAAAACGGTCGAAGATATCGTTCGATTGTCGTACTCTACAGTAGTTGGATAAGTCGTTGGTTGAACGAAAGTACAGTCTACTGTTTTATTGGGCAGTACTAGACATTCGCACAGTACTCCTGTCAAATTCGGCGGACAAGAGCACGTGAAATTATCCACACCATCGATACAGCTCCCACCATTCATGCACCTTAATGTAAAAAAAATGATAAGTACCGTAGCTGTAAGGTGTGGTAGTAGAAAAGATAGTAGGGACTGCTTAGATGAGTTTTACCTCGGTCCAAGTTGGCATTCGTCGTACTGGTACTGGCATAAATCCCCATGGAAATCCGGTACGCAATAGCAAACCGATTCACCGTCTTCTAGTATGCACAAAGCGCCGTTTTTGCACGGGCTGTCGTCGCATATTTGCATGACTTCCTCGCAATTTCTGCCCGCGTAACCTGAAGATTGCATTTTAGCAATTAAATAGCAATATTTCGGTTTTAAAGTTTATTTACCAAAGAGACAAGCGCAGGAATAATCGGCCAAATGGTCGATGCAAACGCCGCCATTGAGGCAAGGAGCTGATGCACATTCGTCTATCTCGTAGGTGCACATATCTCCTCCCCAACCTAACACAAAATATAGAGAAAATTTTCGGAACAGTTTCGGAAATTGGCATACAAACAATTCAATTTCTGGATAATTCACTCACCCAGCTGGCATCGACAAGTGAATGTCTCCCCGGGACCTTCTTCGCAAACTCCCCCATTGGCACATCGCGTCTCATTCGTCGCGTTGCACACGGCTATGTCAACCTCGCAATGATCTCCAGAATATCCAGGCAGGCAATTGCAAAAGTAACCGTTTTGCGCGTCGAAGCAGCTCCCGTTATTCTGGCACGGATTGCTCTCGCACTCGTTAATATCCTCCTCGCAAAGCATACCTTAAACACACTTACTCCTTCTTACATATTTCTATATCAATTGGCTCATTTAGAACCATCGGGATTTCTAATCACAAGCTTTATCTATCGAGTCTAGTTCGCCGTACCTATCTACTAGTAAAGGTTGTAAAATGGTAAATACCTTTGTATCCAGGAGGACAAGAGCAATTGAACATGGCTATGCCGTCGATGCAAACGCCGCCGTTCTGGCAGGGCGACGACCAGCATTCGTTCCAATTGGTCTGGCATTGGATGCCCGTGTAGCCGTCGATGCAGTAGCAAAAGTAGCTGGAGTTCAGATCGTCCAAGCACACGCCGTGGATGCAGGGGTTGCTCAAGCAGGCGAAGCCGTTCCAGGCGCTCGGCAGGTGGAGCAGGAGCGCTTGGAAGACGAACAGCCATCTCTGGCTACCGTTTTGGAGCATATTTCATTATTAGTTGCGTACCTGGAAATGAAGTGAGTACTGCTGGTGTTGCTAGAATGTTAGAAGTAGAGTCTAGTAATTCGGAAACGCTGGATCTAGTGGTGTTTAGAGCATAAGTATACTTATTGGAAATTAATATAGGTGTAATAAATATGATTGAACAATACTTCATACTTTACCTCTATTAAGACACTTCCTTATAATTTGTCCAAGAGCTTAGAAAAATTAAAAACTACTTTAAAAGTAATCTTCGAAGTACTTATTTCTATAGAATTCTTTAATAAAAGAACTAGGAAGTACACTGTTCAAACAACTACCTCATAGCCACATAATGAATTAGAACAACCAATAAAACTGACAGTGGAACTTTAGTGGATTAACACAGTCATCTCTGCTTATTGATTTTATATTCAATTTTTTTTCTTATTTTCCGACCACTGGTACCATTTTTTTCTACATTACGACCTAATGCTTAATTAATCGGTACATCAGGGGATACCAGGCTAATTTCCTATACTTTACCTCAGGAAGTTAGCATTTTCCGTGTCACAGTTCTCGCTTTGAATCACTACTAACCCCGATTTTTCAACCCTCTTGCCTGGCATTGCCACATCCTAGCAGTAACCATGGGGATTGGTAAACAAAACATTCTGTATATGAGTTTTGTTGGAAAGTTTCTTGACCGCAACCTGAGGTTGTGGTCGGGCGATTCAATAAAGCGACGTTGCCAAATAAGGGAGGATTTACAGAAATTTCAGGAAAAATTATATGGAAGTATTAATTAGTATTAAATATTAATACTGCGTATAGTCCAATAGAGGTTGAAGGTGTTGAATTTTTAATACACCCCTTTTAACATTATTTATAATTCATTAATCCATTCATAATTCATGGGAAGGGGTGAATGGCACATAAATTATTATTATTGTCAATAAGAAATTGGAGTTTTTGTTCATTTAATTGAATCATATTTTATACCTTCCATTGTAACTTCTTAATTTTGGATTATTAATTATATTATTTTACAATGGATTATATAATTTATGTAGCTTTGTTTTATTTAAATATCCAAAAATATATCACCAATAAATGGCGTTATGGATGTTTATTTTATTTGAACTATAAGCAAAATTCAAAGCTACCCTTTCCCATTGTAAAAAAAACTTATCAATGAGACAATAAATAACCTTGATCTCGACTAAAATTTCATAGTGCGTTTATTTTTGTTATAATGAAATTTTAATGAATTCCCGCGTTTAAATTCAAATTTATCAATAAGATTTGGCAGGTGCCAAACATGTCAAGCAGAACATATGTTTAGAAAGAATATTTATTATGAAACTTCGTATAAAGTAGACCAAAATTTTCAATAAACTTGAATAATCGAAAGATAATCGCATTAAAATAATTCCGAAATATGGCTGTGTAAGCAGTAGTATAAAGACCTCATCTTTCAAAGAAATAAAAAAGAAGATTTTTTTAACCAACTTGATCTGTCAAAATTTTGTTTACAATTGGAAACTGTTATTTGTTATTTTCTTTTCTTATTATGTCAACAAGTTATAAGACCGTTCCATTATTCTGAATAATAAAACAAATTGTTATGGAAGATTCGTCAGAAAAAGTTTATTCGAAAAGGAGCAGTAGGCGAGAACAATTTCACTTTTACAATAGTTTAGCATGCTTGGTAAAAGCATTGGAAGGATCGCATACTCTAGTGGATTTGCGTAATGAAAGCTCTGTAGCCGGTTACGTTGTTCTCGTAGATGGTTATATGAATATTGAATTATCAGATGTAGTATATTTGGATCCCAGAGGTACGTAACGTAAGATATTTTTCCAAGATTTTTCGTAATACTTTGTTTTTAGGTGAAAAATATTATTTTCCACAATTCTTTGTTCGACATCGAAATATAAGGTACGTCCATATTCCCAGTGAACATAAATCTGTAGATCTAATGCAAAACCAATTGAAAGGACTGAATTATTTCAAGACTGGCAACAAAGGAAAACGATCTTACAAAGAGGTCAGAGCTCGACGGTATCAAAAAGAAACACTTTGTTCTCTTAACACAGAAAATAAAAGTTAAAAATAAACCTAAATTGTTCCTTTATTTCTTACTCATGATAGAAATTTTAAAAATTTACTTGGTATTCGTAATATTGGTGAAATGAAAGCCATTTTTACTATAAGGAAATATTTATTAATACTCTAAAAAAATCAGTTCATATCCATTAAGTGGTTATTAAAAAAACTTAAAAATTTCCACCTCTTAGACGAAGAACCAAGTGAAGTGTAGACTCTTTTTGAATATTGTAGTCAGACAAGGTTCTTCCGTCTTCCAGTTGCTTTCCGGCGAAGATTAAACGTTGTTGATCTGGGGGAATTCCCTCTTTGTCTTGGATTTTGGCCTTAACATTCTCGATGGTATCAGATGGTTCAACTTCGAGGGTAATAGTTTTACCAGTAAGGGTTTTAACGAATATTTGCATTCCTCCTCGGAGACGAAGAACTAAGTGGAGCGTAGATTCTTTTTGAATATTGTAGTCAGACAAGGTTCTTCCGTCTTCCAGTTGCTTTCCAGCGAAAATTAAACGTTGTTGATCTGGGGGAATACCCTCTTTGTCTTGGATTTTGGCCTTAACATTCTCGATAGTATCAGATGGTTCAACTTCGAGGGTAATAGTTTTACCAGTAAGGGTTTTAACGAATATTTGCATCCCTCCTCTGAGACGAAGTACTAAATGCAAGGTGGATTCTTTCTGAATGTTATAGTCAGATAAGGTTCTTCCATCTTCCAGTTGCTTTCCGGCGAAGATTAAACGTTGTTGATCTGGGGGAATTCCCTCTTTGTCTTGGATTTTGGCCTTAACATTCTCGATAGTATCAGATGGTTCAACTTCGAGGGTGATAGTTTTACCAGTAAGGGTTTTAACGAATATTTGCATCCCTCCTCTGAGACGAAGAACCAAGTGGAGCGTGGACTCTTTTTGAATATTGTAATCAGACAAGGTTCTTCCATCTTCCAGTTGCTTTCCGGCGAAGATTAAACGTTGTTGATCTGGGGGAATTCCCTCTTTGTCTTGGATTTTGGCCTTAACATTCTCGATAGTATCAGAAGGTTCAACTTCGAGGGTGATAGTTTTACCAGTAAGAGTCTTAACGAATATTTGCATTCCTCCTCGGAGACGAAGAACCAAGTGGAGCGTAGATTCTTTTTGAATATTGTAGTCAGACAAGGTTCTTCCGTCTTCCAGTTGCTTTCCTGCGAAGATTAAACGTTGTTGATCTGGGGGAATTCCCTCTTTGTCTTGGATTTTGGCCTTAACATTCTCGATAGTATCAGATGGTTCAACTTCGAGGGTGATTGTTTTACCAGTAAGGGTTTTAACGAATATTTGCATTCCTCCTCTGAGACGAAGAACCAAGTGGAGTGTGGACTCTTTTTGAATATTGTAGTCAGACAAGGTTCTTCCGTCTTCCAGTTGCTTTCCTGCGAAGATTAAACGTTGTTGATCTGGGGGAATTCCCTCTTTGTCTTGGATTTTGGCCTTAACATTCTCGATAGTATCAGATGGTTCAACTTCGAGGGTGATAGTTTTACCAGTAAGGGTCTTAACGAAGATCTGCATTCTGCAAACAAATTAAACCAACTAATTAATAAACTGTCTGGTACCTAAATGTATACGATTTTTTACATGTATTTTAATCATCAATAGTTGTAAGAACTATTTTAAAACAGTAAAGAAAATGGCGTATAAAAAATCGAAATGGGGACACACCTAATTAGATAGGAAGGAATGCAATAAAATGTCGTAAAAATTAGTAAATACGATAATTTTGTTGTTAAAACAACTGAAACAGTTATGGGTAGTCATATCAACTCACTTTAATGATTATTAGTAGTAGCTATGAACAAAGAATAGCTGTTTTGACGTTCACAAGTTTCTCTTTACAACACTAGACACAAAATGGCGATTCTTTTATCCTCCCTTTCTTTTGTTCGCTTATATATGACAGCTGACTTCCCCACCACTATTCACTTTCTAGAACATTCTAGAAAACTACTCGATATTTTAGAAAATCGATATTTTTATCGATTCCTTGATAATGTTCTCGAAATAACTTATTAAACATTTATAAAAACTCAACGATTAACAACTATTCTATAAATTTATATTGGAAATAACCCGTTTCCATTGTTGATGTACTAAGAATATTTAATTATCGCAGGTAATTTGAATATCGATTCATTCGATTTTATCAACACTCGCTACGTCACAATCTCGATTGTAATTACTAATTTAGATAAAATTTTCAATTTCAATTAATTTAATTTGTCAGAACAGCAGTCAGAAATCAGTTGACTCAATTTTAAAATGCTCAAAATAGTTGTGCAATATTACCTATAAATTGATTAGTTATGCAATAGCATAAAATTAAAATAAAACAAGAAATTAAAACAATGGTTTAATATTGATACGTATTTCCAGTCATTTTATATATTTAAATTAAACACAATCAATACATTCCAAAACTAATGTTTATTTTACATATGTACACATAACTAATTCAAGCATAAAAAGCATAAATTTTTATATAAATAACCATCTATGTATGTATGTATAAACTGAGTTTTGTTACTCTTTCTTTGTTTCGGTTTTTTCATTCTTGTCTGAAGTCGATTTTATAAGCAACCTTCGGCTAGAATCATTATTTAATTCTAATTCCATTCGAATAACATTCCATTTATCTAATTCACTATTTTTTTCGGCCCAAAAGTACAAATTCCCACGCCTTTTGCTCCCTACTAAAGGCACTTTGTATTGGGCAAAATTACCTTTCGTGAAATTCTCCGCATTAGTAACGTCCAATTGTCGCTCTGTTATAGGTTCACCTAGTAAATAAATGGCCCCATTATGTTGCTTGAGCGTTTTCAAAGCATCCTGGTAATACTCTGTTTGGGTGATATTATAAGTTACTTTATTTTTTAATATCAGGCCCATTGTGACCGTGGCGAATCCTCCGAGGGCTCCTATTTTTACTAACTTTATATTGCTCATTGCTTTCTTCCTTATTAGTATTTAATTTTATTAAATAAATGGGGTTCAGAAAACCAAACAATTTCTTAGGTTATAATAAACAAAAAGAAGTTCAATATGGCCTTTTACTATAACAGAGTACAGTCATCTAGTTATATATTTAAGAGGGGCGTTGAGCACTTCATCAGTCGTACCAATCGCCCCTAGAATCTAGTAATTTTTTGTAGTTTCATTAATTGAACCAGATGGCGTTAGCTGTCTCAAAATTAAATTTTTAGCCAGGTTTTTAACCAGTGATATTTCAGAAAATGTTCTAACAGGTGGCGCAAGTGCAGTGGATCTAAGAGACTATTTTCAAAGTAAATGTATTGTTATTGTCGCATTGTAAATAAAGAAAATTTGCATAAGCAGGTAGCCGTTTATGATTGTCCGTCTAATCGTTTTCGACCCCTAACACTCTGGCGAATATTCTCTCTATTTTTGTAGCGGCGAAGATGCAATTTTGCTTTTAGAATTTGCAAATTTCATTTTTGATATAAGTATAAGTAGGTATTAATTTGCAAATTTTATTTCAAATATCAATGACTATATAAATATTATATAGTTTATTAGTTAATTATATTTCAATTTCTTATTGCAAACTTTGTAAACTATAAATTATGTAAATTTGAAACATTTTATTAATTAATTTTTATAATTAATTACAAAGATACATTAATAATAGACGTACAATCATTGCTAGAAAGACCAGTCTTTGTCGAGTGGTACCTATATTACAATGGTATTAGGTAAAAATCACTAAACATTTTTTATTACTAAAAATCATGTAATTATGATATAGTGTTCATTAAAATACAGGGTGTCCCAATGAAAAGTAGCCCCTTTAGTGAGGTAATATTTTTTAAACGCCTAATGATGATAAAACATGCGGTTTTGACAAATATATTATTTATTTTTCTATAACTTTTTGTTGCAGTGAGACAAAAATTTTGTATCGCCTGCACAGGATGTTTCATAAAGACCCCTCTTTTAAAATCGCAATAACTAAATTTTATGAAATAGGACGTCTTCTTTTGTAGAATAATATCTACAAATAATATATTTTTGAAAAGTAGAAGAGTGTATCTTTTAAAATACCTCTGTATATACGGGATGTTCCATTTAAATTAATTTGGTTACTGTGAATTTAAAGGAGGAGGCATAATTTCTGTATCACTGTAACAAAACTTATAATAAAATAAAACATATTTAAGAAAACCACATGTTTTTATGATTAGGCGTTTAAAAATTATTAGCTAATTAAAGGGGGTACTTTTTATTGGAACACCCTGTATTGTATTGTATATTTTTTTTTTTTTTTTTTTTTTTTTTTTTTTTTTTTTTTTTTTTTTTTTTTTTTTTTTTTTTTTTTTTTTTATGCACACGACTCGGGAAAAGACGAAGCTTATAGCGCGTGTTCAGGCGCCCCGAGGCGTTTTTAGTAGGTAATTGTTAATGTTGGTCTTAAACCTCTGAAGGTCGTAACCAACTGGGAACACTTCTGATGGTAGTGTGTTCCATAGTGTCGCGGTTCTGTACAGAAAAGATTTCTGATACATAGAGGTCCTAGCTGTTGAAATGTGTACGGCAAACTGGTGTGTGCTCTCCGCTAGCCTTGTAGAACGTCCAAAGTGAGCACCAGGTGGAATAATGGAAGCAATGGCTGCAGAACACCTTCCGTGGTAATATCTGTAAAAGAGACTTAAGTCGCTAACCCTTCTACGATGGTCTAGTGTATGAAGGTTAGAGGTTAATGAGGGGTCATCAACCAGGCGCACTGCTCTTTTTTGAATGGAGTCTAGTAGGTGCAAGGAGTGCTTAGGAGCAGAACTCCAAGCATGAGAGCAATATTCCAATGCTGGACGAACTTGAGCCTTATAGAGTAACAGAAGCTGCTTTGGTGTGAACATTTTTCTGGCACGAAATAAGTAACTAAGCTTCTGGGCGGCTGATTTAGCTATGGTGGAAACATGTTCATGCCAGGTTGCATTTGAATTAATGCTGACCCCTAAAAGATGTAATTTATTAGTTGTTTTAATTGTTTGGTTATTCAATGCTAGTTGGGGTATGACGGAGGACGTCTTTCTTGTAAACATGGTTGCCTGGGTCTTGGAGGCGTTGAATTCAACCAGATTATCGGATCCCCACTTCAAAATAATTTGAAGGTCGTTGTTGATGGACTCAGCTTGCAAGAGCCTTTGGCGACTTGATTTAGATGCACTGACAGGTCTCTTGTTTGTAGTGGATGCTATGAGAGTGCTATCATCTGCGAAGCTGAGAATTTTGTTTTTGGTTGAATTTAAAAGATCATTTATGTGAATTAAGAATAGAGTTGGTGATAAAATCGATCCTTGAGGTACACCAGCGTTCAAAGAGTAAGGATCTGAAGTTGCACCGTCAACCACAACTTGAATTTGTCTCCTATGCAGAAAGCTCTCTATAAGTCCGCATAGTTTTTGGGGCAGACCGTAGGATGCCAGCTTAGATAGCAGTGCTTTGTGCCAAACCCGGTCGAAGGCCTTAGATATATCTAAAGCGACCGCTATTGATTCTCCGTGGTTCTCGATAACACTTGTCCAAATGTGTGTAACATAAGTGAGCAGGTCACCTGTTGAGCGACTGTGTCGGAAGCCGTACTGGTTGTCACTTATGAGACCATTCTGTTCTAGATATTTAACAACCTGCAAGTTAATGGCAGATTCCATTACTTTGGATAATATGGGTAGAAGGGCTATCGGGCGGTAATTTTGCGGAAGGCACTTTTTCCCTTTTTTTGGTATTGGTTGAACTCTTGCAACCTTCCATACAGATGGAAATGTCCTCTGCTCATAGCACAGCTTAAAAAGCCGACAGAGCAAAGGTGCGAGTTCGGGTGCACAGTGCTTTAATACAATTGCAGGTATCCCGTCAGGTCCCATTGACTTTTTGCAGTTTAGTTGTTTCAGAATGCGGCGGATGTTACGTGTTTGAAATTTCAGTTCGGGCATTGAAACCTGAAACTTAGGAATATTAGGAGGTACCTTTTGACCTGCATCTAGCGTTGAATTCTTTGCGAATAGTGGCGCGAAGAGGTCTGCCTTCTCTTTGGAGCTGGTCGCCAATGTGCCATCATCTTTAACAAGTGGTGGGAAGGTGGTATGGCAAAAATTGTTGTTGATAGCCTTAGCTAGTGACCAGAATGGACGCGAACCACTAGGACATTCTAAAAGCTTATTTGTTACCTATGTAACCTATGTATGTATATCATATACCTATGTAATATTGTAAAAGTACATGCAGGCGACAAAATGAGAGATGCGATTCTACGATCGAATATATTGATAAATGCCCGATACAATAAGTACTCCGAACACACACTCCGATAATGACAATGCCTCCGATGAAATTGTAAGGCCCGGTTGCTCGTACGCGGATCAACTTTGATCCGGGATTAAGCCGAGATTAAATCGGGATCAAATATGGCCGCCCTATTCCAGGACTAACTATTGGTCCGACTTTGATCCGAGATCAGTTGATCTGACTTTGATTCGCGTACGAGCAACCGGGCCTAAGTGAAATAGTTCTAGTACAGCCACTCTGGGGTCGTAGGACTTGGGTGGAGACCTGTGCAGGACCATTCAAGTATAGATTTGATCATCAACCTGCCCCATGAGGTACCCGATAAAACATTATATTCCGAAGATAGAAGAAGAGAAGAAAAGTCGACCGATGAAACTTGTATATCAACTTGTATATCAAAATTGTTAAAGTAGTATTAAAATAAACATATTTACACAAATGAAATGTTTGAATTCTTTTCCTTACAGGTACAACAAGTTTAGCATGATAGTTAAATTGAACGTAAGTCATATCATATCTAATAACTGATAAGTGTAAAGTTGGAAAAGAAAAAATACAATACTAAATTTGTATGCCAATGATGAATATGAAAAATATACCTAATAGTGCACGCTGTGATAAATTTTGATTTCATTCTAGTCTTCAATCAATCTTCGAATATTGTTTTACAAAATAATTAATAAATGCATGATATCCAAATATAATAACGTATCTTCATAATTAATTATTGTTTGTATATTGCAATTTCAATTGCAACTACAAAGTAATAACTCGATAAAGTATAATATAGCAAATGTAAATATGGTAACGTAAACATAACCTCCTAAAAATCAATTTGACATTTTGTCTTATGTCTTATGTCATGTCTATTACGTCAAATACTCTATTTTGTTGGCAGCAATGACACTTACAATAAATTTTCGCTTGAATTTCCTCAATTCTCCTAAATTTGTCTATTATAATACAAACAGTGTGCTTTGAGAAGTGCACATATATCGTATATTCATGAAAAACCCTTTTTTTATCCTCCTAAAGCTCATATCTACTTGAGCGTATGCAACCAACATTACCAAAGTGTCCAAAGAATCAAAGAACATACATAAACGTATCATTTTCGGTATCCCCTAGCGGCAAATCGATGAAGTTTTTTCCAAAATCCAGACTTTTCGGTGTACAAATCTCAAAAAATATAAAGAATATCGTTTCCAAATTTTCACAATACATTTCTATTACCCCTCGCCAGGTCATAAAGGATTTTGGTTATCGTCCGATGGAAAAAAAAACTGAAAAATGTCTACCTTCAAACGCTTGTAATTTCGTTATTTTTGCATAGATCTGTAAAAAAAACCTTTATGACCTACAGGAAGGTTCACTCTATCAGCTGCGATTCATATTATATCTCAAAATTAAGTAAAAATTGAGATTTGTACACCGAAAAATCGGGCTTATTTTCATTGCTGCCAACTGAAATTGGGTTACCAAATCTCAACGCCCCTCTTAAAATTCAAAGTAGGGTAGAGTGGGTTAGAGTATGATAGTATAGGGCATGGCCGTGTATTAATTAATACTTACTCAAGTTGTCTCTGATACGGTAGTGGAAAAAGAAAAATTCTTAATTCTTAATTCTATATTTTTTCTTGTCCTAAAATTAAACGACCTTTCAACATAACAAATCGTATTTACAATCACTCTATAAATATAAATAGAAAATAAATGTACTCGAAAAAAAAATCAAAATGAAGAGCATTAAGAATAAAATCAAAAACCAAATTCATAACCACAAGCACGTACCCCATTTGCTATGGAATATGCTCTTAAGATAGGTTAACTCAGACTACTCGTAACACTAATGCTACTATTGCTGTTTGTCCGACAACTGCCCAATGCGCCGCTGTCCTTTTTGAACGTGGCCAATCCCGCTTTGACCAGTTCCTCGGCAATGTCTATATCGTGCTCTTCGATCTCGTACAAATCCACGCCCGGTACTGGAGAACCTTCCCGCTTCGCTCTCGTTTTCTCTCGAACGCTGTAACCGTTCATTTTAGCCGATAGTTTTTTCCATTGCGCCACGTGGGTCCATTCTTCGAATCGATCTCTAGCTTCCTCGGACCAGGAATCGCCTGTCGGCTCTAAAAAGTTAGTTCATGAAACATTAAAGTGTAAATTTAGCTCTTTGAATTAGCTCTGAATAAGAAGCATATAATTTAGCAATAATTAGCATCCTCAGAAGAATTTATATTTCTTCAAATATCTGAGCTTTTTGATTGTTTATGCTTACCAACTCTGGCTAGAAAGCACTCGATAGCTTGAAAATGCAACCTTAAAAAGTCAGTTCTCAATTCGTAGACATCTTTGCATGCCACAACGTCAGTATCACCGTAGTCTACGTAATATAATTCAGCTCGTTTTTCATTATCGTCATTCGCAACTTCTTCTAACAAATTTAAAACTTCAGCTCGGTACCTGTAAAAATATATTACCATGTATTTAAGTAACTTCGATGATTCACAAAATTCAAACAAACTTACCATTTGTTGTCGTACATAAATTTAGCTGCTACTAAATCGCCTTTTTTGACTTCTTGCAGTTCGTGGACGGTTCTGTTCTCAATTTTATTGTAATACTCTGTCATTTCTTCTACTAAACAATCCAATTCCGTTGCCTTAGGACCGACTATTTGCACCCAAAACCTTGAGGGATCTACCATTGCTGAAATGTACACTTCGAAGGGTTTCTCTGGTTGACCTACAAAGAATTGTAAACAAAAATTTGGTGTAATAGTGATTTAGAATAGCGAGTTCTTTTTACCTGGTAGTGGAGACATTCTTTCGACTCTAGGGCTTTCTATAGTCTTGGCTAGATCGGGAGATTTAAGTGGAATTCTAGGTTCCCGTTTCGCTAATGAAGCTTCTAATCGCTGTTGTTGCTCCATTACTTCTTCAACAATATCATCGATAAGGGACTTTGCTACATTGATTTGTTCCTTAGTGCCTTAAAGAGTAAAAATATGTAAATTTTAAATCAACTTTCAGATACCTTGAAATCCCATGTACAAATTGATGCTAATTGAAATGTTATAATTCGAAACATAAATAGATGATTTTACATTGCCAATAAATCGGTAACGTTACCTTTAATTGTGATTCTTTTCGAATTCAACATACGATCATCTAGGTCATCGGTAACAGTAATTTTCGATCCTGACAAACTTCTAATTTCAGATATCTTTTCACCGCTTCTACCAATAATTTTACCAACTGATACAGTAGGAACCCACATATCTTCACTCTCCAATACCGGTTGGTTATCAATAAACTCCTAATAACATTTAAAAAATGTCACTCTTCTACTACTAACTTGTATTAATCTCACCTGAATTAAATTCTCGGCGATATGACAAGCTTCTATAGACCCTTTAACAACGCAAATTTTATATTCATCGCTATCAGTGTCTCGAAAGAATATTTTCGTGCTCGATTGTTCTTGAATTTGTTTAATATGTCTGCCGCTTCGACCAATGAGGGAGCGAACGATTTCCTTCGGGACTTTAACTTCGTGTGTTTTAAATTTAGAGGCTTTAGCCAATGTGTCCAAGTAATCGTCATCTTCGTCTTTGTGGATAAGCAGGTACAAGACATAGCCGGAAACTCCGCAAACAGTTAATCCGAGAAGTACTGTTAGGGATTTTGTTATGGCACTGAAAAAAAATTAGGATATTTTTTTAGATACATTTTGTGTTTATTTTTCTTATTATTGAGTATGGTGTTTGTATATTGTTTGTTTACTGTCTTAAAAATTGTTTTTTATAAGGTATTTTAATTTTATGTATGAGATAAGTACCAAATGATTTCAGCTACACCTTGAATTGCTTATTTAATGGTTTTATTTTTTAATTGCTGAGATAACCTTCCTCAAAAAACAATTAAATAAACAAACATACTTTTTGAAAAAGTACATAATATAGAGCATGGGAAAAAAAGTAAAAAAAATACATTAAAAATAACTCTGTCTTGTCTAGGTTTTGAATAAAATAAACGACTTGGAATATTTTATTTTGAGAACAATTTTAAAACAACCTGTTTTTATTTAACCGATGATGTCATCTTTAGAACCTTTGGTACAAATAAAAAGGAAAATATATTAAATCAACAGATATGCATTTAAAAATTAAATCTAGATATTTTTCAAGTAAATAAAGATATAAAATATAATTTTATATACAATGTGAGTTAATTTATTGCATGATACAAAAATGTGAGAAAAAGAGTATTGTTATAGTTGATTTATGAAGAAATAAAGAGATATTAATAAATAAGCAGTAATAGAAACTTACCTCATTATCAATAATACTTGGAATTACAACAAATTATTAAATAATTAACATATTTTTAAACAGAGATTCTTTTTTGAGAATACAATAACCTCAAAAAAATTTATTTTCTTCTTTTTCCATTAAACTCTTTTTGGCCTTTTACTTAAAAATATTTAGCTCATTTAATAAAAACCGATAAATACTAGATCAGATTATGTATAAATGAGTACTACGATTAAATATTGCATTCTAATTCAAAATTCTCTACTAAAAATTACATAATTAAATAAAAAAAAATAATAACTCGTGTGCCATTGGCTATCTAAAACCGGTGTCGCCTATTGCAGCGCCAACTGTACCAACTCCTTTAAAAGTTTGAGTGTCGTTTCGTGTCGCCTCGTCTGTCAAAATTCCATTTAAATTTCAAACCAGAAAAACAGATAAGCATTAACTATGAAGGCAGCAAATAACACTAAATCCGTTAAAATGACATCGCAAAAATTGAATAATGTCGAAAGCGTTGATAAATCGGAGAAAGGAAAGGTGAGGCGAAAAAATTTCGTGGCAAAAATTCAAATTAACCGCGCTGAAATGGGTGCGCGCCGAAGCCACTCCGACACGTTAGTTTTCTCTTCTTTTTCATTGGTTCCGTGAGCTACACTTGAATTATCGCCATTTTGATGTGTTGTATGAGTAGTGATAAGAAAAATATGTATTAAATGATCATTTACGAGAGTATATAAAATACTAATACTGTGTCTACTTTAAACGTTTAGTCAATCATTCAATTGTATTATTTTTAAGATAAAAAACGTAGTAATAATGGACGATAAGGCTTCATGTAAGGAACTAGATCAATGGATAGAACAGTTAAATGACTGTAAGCAATTAACCGAAAACCAAGTGAAAACTCTGTGTGATAAGGTAAGATACTTCTCTTTAGCCGATTTTTCGCATTTTCGGTTTTTACAACAAATGAGTGATGCAGATAATACTCCGTAAACATTACTCATCAAACTAATCATTATACTTCATGTTAGAATTCATAACTTCGATTATACGAGGATTATTTTTAGATTGATTTTGATATGTTTTAATAACCAGACAGTAATATTGGTTCAGATCGCACATGTGTGGTTGATGTTAAATTAGAATTGTCTCGGTTATTAACTACTAAAATCCACTAAACTATTGATCATTTAATGAAGTTGTTTATGCTAATTTTGCTATTTTCTTTGAACAGGCGAAAGAAATACTGTCCAAAGAATCAAATGTGCAGGAGGTAAAATGTCCTGTCACCGTTTGCGGAGATGTACACGGACAGTTTCACGATCTGATGGAATTATTTAGGATAGGTGGTCGAAGTCCAGATACGAATTACCTTTTTATGGGTGACTATGTCGATCGTGGGTATTATTCCGTCGAGACTGTTACTCTTTTGGTGGCTTTGAAAGTCAGGTAAGGCAAATTTTCTACCCTTGTTCGTTTCGTATTTAAAATGTAAATTAACCGATAATAACACAGTTTGAATTTACTATTTGCCAGGCTATTAACTTCTTGTTTATAGTCTAAGTAATTTTGGAAATTGATAATGGGAGTGTTAGATGTTTTGTTTTCAAAACATTGTGTAAGTAAGTAATGGTATTAACACTAAATGTGTATACAGATAACTGCAAAGTTGTACACATTATGGTCTATTGGTGCAACAAAAACAACTTCCATTAGTTTCATATAAAGGAAAAAGAAAGGTATATTGTGGGATTACAACTTTCACACTCTAACAACTTTTATTTTAATAATATCTTTTTATCCAACCCATAGAATTGATCATATTACAAACAAGATTGTATTCCATATAAAGTCTTGTCATTTTTATGAACTATCCTACTAGGATCTTTCCAAGAAAAGCTTATAGTTCTATTATACGATAGTAAAATCGTATAATAGTATTTTGATAATGTCAACAAAGCAGGTATTGTGTGATCATATATCTCAGTTATCACAATTATTTAATTGAGTATGCATTAACTTTAAATCTTTTATAAGAGTATGTGAGTGAATGCAGGTTTGTTTGCATTATGGTCGACTCTATGAATTGAATAAAGAGCAATTATAAAAATAACAGTGGTTGGAGTAAGAAAGTTGCAATTAACCCACAATATCACTCTTTCTTTTTCCTTTACATGAGACTGATGGAAGTTGTCTTTATTGAACCTATAGTATACAAATTTGTACTATTGAAAAGTAAGATAAATTATTCATATTGCAACTTGGAGAAGGCTTTTTATACGCAATTACAAAAAGCATCTTCTATTATTGAACAGAACAAGAAGTTTCTTCTATTAATGATACTGAAGTTGTTACCAAAAGTAAGATAAATATTGTAAAATTTAATATCGCGAAAATTATAAGACTAACAACGCTATAAAAAGAACATGGATGTCGATGGAAAATTGTTTGCAACATAGGCTATGGGTGCAACAAAGACAACTTCAGTTAGTCTCATAAAGGAAAAAGAAAGAGTGATATTGTGAGATTGCAATTTTCTCACTCTAACCACTGTTGTTTTATTAATCTTTCTTTATTCAACTCATAGAATTGACTATATTGCAAACAGTTTTAAACTTATGAAGATAAATACAAGACTTCATAAAAATTCTATTGTTTTATGCCTAATGCAGTTTCTACATAAATATCTTTCCATTTCTCTAATGTGTTAAGTACTTCGATCATTTCCCACTATTTCTGTGACATAATAATCCAGTTAGTCGCCCCAATATCTTATCTCGGAGATAACCTAAGTACCCGAGAGAGAATTGACCTAATGTAAACGTCATTATCAACTTTGGTTCGTTTTTAAAGGTATAAAGAAAGAATTACGATCCTGAGAGGAAACCACGAATCGAGACAAATCACTCAAGTATATGGATTCTACGACGAGTGCCTGCGAAAATACGGGAACGCGAACGTTTGGAAATTCTTCACCGATTTGTTTGATTACTTGCCGCTTACAGCGCTCGTCGATAGCCAGATATTCTGTTTGCACGGAGGGCTCAGTCCCAGCATTGATACTTTGGACCATATTAGAGCCTTGGATCGTTTACAAGAGGTTCGTGTGCGCCTATAACGCTCGATGGCTATGAAATAACGAATTCTGGTTTTTGTTAGGTACCTCACGAAGGTCCGATGTGCGATCTTCTCTGGTCGGATCCCGACGATCGCGGAGGTTGGGGCATTTCTCCTCGCGGTGCGGGATATACCTTTGGACAAGATATATCGGAAACGTTCAACCACAGCAACGGCTTGACATTGGTCTCTCGGGCCCATCAACTCGTCATGGAGGGGTACAATTGGTGCCATGACAGAAACGTTGTAACGATCTTCAGTGCTCCAAACTACTGCTATAGATGTGGTAATCAAGCTGCCATTATGGAATTAGATGATGCGCTTAAATATTCATTGTAAGTTTAGATGTTCGATTTAGTAGGAGGTGTTTGGTTAACGTGGAATTGTTTTTTTTTTTTTTTCAAGCTTACAATTTGATCCAGCACCGAGACGTGGCGAGCCTCACGTTACCCGCAGAACTCCGGATTATTTCCTTTAAACATTCTTATTGATACGACTTTTTTCAACTGCAATTATCATACTTAAGAAAAACAAAAAAAGGAAGCTTAGTTATATTATAATTATTGTATTTGTAAAAGAAATTATTATATAGTTTATTGCAATTTAAGTGACGCCTCTCCCGAATATCCAAAATTGATATCCGTAATAAAAATAAAAATTGTAAAGTATGCATTGATGGTGTCCTTTTTTTGAACATTTTTTTCTTAACGTGTAAATACTCATAGGCTATGACTGAAATCTGATCTAATAGAAAATTGTTAATAACTGATTATTGTTATTAGGATAATTAATGGTAGAAAAAGGTTAACGAGAAACGTATTAGATTTTAAGTGTAACGTTTTCTTTGGCTATTAACATTCGGAGAGGATTTTTGGTAATTGACGAATTTGTTGATACAAACCGCTATTGTGTTCAATAATGATGAATTTAGGAAAACAAAAAAAAAGGAAAATGGTTGTGAATGGATATAATGTATTCGCGGATCCTCCGACTTAAATGTATTATATTTTAAAACACATGTATTTATAACAAAGCAAGCTTTACTCTACCAGAAAACATGGAGTAATTTGGCATGTGCTCGAATCAGTGCTTTTCGTGTAGATGTATCAGTTTGTAGCTCCGTCTGTTAACCTTTTTTTACTTAATTTCTGCTGTAACAATATTAACGTGTCCTCGAACGTGAGAATTAAAATTAAACGTAACTACCGCATAGTTACAGACCTTTTTAGAATTGCCAAACAGCCGCATAAATATTGCATTGTTTAAAGTATCCAAGAAAAAAATAAACTTAGTTGCTTCTGGTGTCTTAGATTTATCGACGTCCATCGTTTAGAGCGTTAATTTTAATTTACGTAACATCGATATCAATAGATTTTAATAATATTAATGTAAACTAAAAACATTCATAGTTGAAAATCAGCCACCACCATCAAGCAAACGTTGAAAATGTCTATGTTAAACACCCAATTCATCGGTAATTGTCGAGTGTCCTACTGTTTAAATTATGTGAAGGTAGAAGGTAAATATGCTAAAAGTTAGGAAGTTTCTTAATTTTTTTAACGATTCGAATTTTTCTTTATCCTTGATGTAACATTTATAACTTGTAAATTTGTATCAATAAAATGTTTAATCACTGAAGTTCTTTTTCATTTATTAAACTTACAAAAATTTTATAGTTGAAGCAATTATTTTATAGAACTAATTAGTTTATCTCGTGATTCATAGATTATTCTCAGATAAGTAAATCTTATTAATTTAGTTAAGTAGAGAAATATTCATTGAAAAAACTTCTTTGTTGCAAAAGGTCTGATTTCCTCTGAATCAGTACAATTTTTTATAGACAGGGTGTCCCCCATAAGAAACAAAGCAGCGGTGTATAGGGGAGCCCGAAATATGTTCCTTGTAAATTCCTGAGAAGTTACAGGCTTTCAAAGGGAAGAAATATAAAAAAAATTTTATATCTCGCTAATACTCAAACTTAAAACAACTAAATTTGGGTATTTTAAAGGGTTCATCAGGGATCATGTTACATAATTTTTTACCTGATGGATGATTTAAAAAATTATTGGTTCATTTCACAATTGCGTTTTAAAACTTTTTTATTCTTTTTGTTTTATAAAATTCTTTGTCGTTTTGATGAAAAACGCTAAAAATGAAGGTCATGTACACTACTATCAATTTTACTTAAAATCGTCGATAATTCAAAAATTGGCTGTGGTATCTGTTCTTATGCGGTACACCCTGTATTTATATTTTGTTCAAATTCTGTGATTCACAGCGCAGAATCCAATGGTCCAAGCAATAAAACTTTACAAATAAAAGTTGAAGTAAATTTTATCTCTTAAAAGTTTTATAGAGGAAACTTTCCTTTAGAACTTACAATAACAAAATTCTTGAGATACCACAAAATACTTTGACGTAGGTCAAAAACTTATACTGTGAACCAGATCAAAAGCATTCAAACTTTTTCAAAGTAGAACACTCCTGTATATTCTTAATAATCTGGGTTGTTATAGGAAAGAATCGAAAAAGAATTCAATTTGAAGACTATAACAATTTTTACCCAATTTTACATCAATTTATGTAGAACTTGTTCAAAGTAGAACACTCCTGTGACTTCTTAGTTATTATCTGGATTATTTCAGGAGAGAATTGAAGAAAGTTTCCATTTGCTTGTTCAGTTTCTCTCCAGAATTTCCTGCCAGTCGCTATAACAATTTTACAACAATTTATGTAGAATTTTTTCAAAGTACAACACTCATCCTGTACCTTCTAAATAATCTGGGTTATTTAAAGAAAGAATTGAAGAAGACTTCCATTTGCTTCTTCAATTTCTCTACCTACATCTTTTCCTGTATAATTCCCTTTAACAATTTTTACCCAATTTGTATGTAGAACATCTATTAAATAACAGGAAGATAAAACAAATCTTCAAGAAGATTCTGCGATAATTCGAGCAAAAATAAACCTCGAAAAAGTGCGAATTTGTGCACAAATTGCGGTTTGCGGCACGTATAATGTCCATTCAACACGTGTCCTTATTTTGTTTCTTCTCCATCTCCATTTCCATTATCTTCCGCTTCGAACCGAACCGAACGAGTGGGTGAAATTAGGCGGCGGGGAAAACGTGCGCAAATCCTTCGCCGGTATTGATTTCTGCCCACACGCGAAATTTTAATTGTTTGATTCCCAAATAAACGAAAGCGGATTTCATCGGACGCGAATACGCGGCGATTCCGAACGGGCCGTTTAATGAATAAAATAATTGCACTGGACGATTGATAACGCGAGAAGTCCCTCCATGCCGCTCTATTTACCTGATTCATTGCGGAATTTTCCGAAAATCTTTAGACTTATTGACGTTCGATTTGTTTTCAGACGATGGATTTTTTAGCCGTTATCAGTCCATATTCGATAACCGGTTCGAAGTGCGCGGTTCTTATCAGAAAGGTCGCGCGATTGCATCCTTTTCTAGACGAAACGTTTCACCATTCGGATCCGTGCGAATTCCCAATTATAATACGCAGATCAATCGAAAATTGCACTAAATTGCACCGTTCGAAATCGAATAGAGGACGGGAAAAAGTTCGTATATACCCGGGATGTCTGGAGGCGCGATGTCGATTGGAAAAAATCAATTTTTATTCGTATATAGGAGGACGATTTTTCGCCGTGTTATTTCAACCCTCGAGCAATGAAGTAAACAACCCCTAAAATTTGAATAGGAAAGGGGAGTCGAGTCGAGTCATACCTCAACAATTGTACCCTTTTAGATTCACTCAATGTGATGTGCAGTTTTTTGATTTTAATCTCTATGCGCTATATTAGGACAAATTGGCAATCTCATGCCAATGTATTTATTACCTGAGAGCTTAAATTGGACGCATGAATATTTTAGGCAGTAAAGGGAATTGTTTGAATTCATTACAATCTTTGAAAGAAATTAAATAATTTTTGGCGTTGTTTCAAAAGGCAGTGCAATGCACCATTAATATTCTAGAGTAGAGCAAAGTAGTCGCTTATTTTGTAACAGTCCTTACTGCAACTTTATACCAAAAATCAATTCTCATCTCTATTAAACTTCTGTCTTACGACCTGTCATTAATATCAATTTTGACAGATTTGGTTCATGTAGGTATCATCAAACGTATTTTAAAGTCCCACATTATGATACTCCATAAATGATACTTTATGATAACCCACTTTTATTAAATAAAAATTCTGAATCATTGAATGATTTAATTGTGGTTATTTTACGGGGAAACTGCGCCCAATTTACCTATAGAATTATAATCTTTAATCCCTTTTGCGCCCAATTTACATCGTTTCACTATTTTGTGCATTAAAGTCACCTAATTGTTCCATTCAATTGGAAACATTTCTACTAAAAATTCTCCCTACTTATTTACGCGCCTTCTGGAGGTTCGTTTTGACCTCATTAAATTTCCAATAGCCCCGGGTTAAACCGGTGATAAAATATCGTTTACACAGCCTCTTTGTATGTACCTATGTACTTAATCGAACATCAAAAAACCCTCAACTTTCGAATTAGCCGTTTCGCGACTGTACAATTTTCCTCGAATTAGAATTTAGACCGTTTTTCTGTGCTAAAAGGGCGTCGCTCCGTCATCATGATGCAACTCCCGGTGCATTCGACATTTACACCGTTAGGCGCTTTAAACGAAACGCTCGAGAAAGTAGATTGGTTATTAAACCGAATGCTTTTTTGAAACAATTCAAAAGTAGGCACTAAACTAACGTTGCGAAATGAAACGAGACCGTCTCGTGGATTAGTCATGTACCGGTTAAATATCTTATTAACATAGACAGCACGAAAGGCGATTTACGGGGGATTAGGAATCCGTTAACTAAACGGGGATGGGTATTGAAACAAAAATACATACTCCCACATTTATCAGTATTAAATTTATTCGAATAGGTCTGCATACAATTTCAGAAATTACCCGCTCAATACGAATTCATTTTTATAAAACTACTAGATACATGGTAGGTACTAATCGGTATTAAATTTATTTGAGTAGGTGTGCGTATAGTTCTAGAAATATGGACCCACTTTTTAAACTATCAAGTATATAAGTATTATATTCCTATTTGTTTCCTGGTAAATATAATCTCCTTTCTCTTCTGTGAGTAGAAGAAACGCCCATGAAGTTGGCTATACATGCCATGTATAACAGTAACAACGAATAAGATGCATTTATTTACTCTAATAAGTCACCGGTCGTGACTTCGAATGACCGTGTTTAAGTCGGTTGGTACTGCGAACGAGAATCAACGGTTTATACTGTATAATATGTAGAAATAACGAAATTAGAAAACACCTACACTCGAGTTGCTCTCTAGAGAAATTCTGAATTTAGAACAGATAAACGGAGAAATTGGTAATAAACGCGCTATTCTTTCTCTAGCGGTTCATTAAATCTACGGTTAACTTAGGATTCCACAAAAATGTGTATTTAGAGATGTTTCTGGTTGTTCGTAGTGATAGCAAAGCTTTGTTTAAAGGATTTTTAAAGAGATTTGTGTCCAGTTGTTTTTGTTATATGTATTAACATATCATCATATATCATTTTCTGCTTGGTGGTATATTTCTGTATTACCAGCAATTTGATTTTCGGATGTTTACCAATTTTACTTACAGTATACAGTGCTTTCGAAAAGTAAGGAATAAATTCATTATTTCTGAAATTAAGAGTTTTTCGTAAAAATCCTCTGACACGTCGATTTTTTTTTAAACAAATGCACTTTTTGATATGCGATCCAAATTTGTGACGTAATCGTTATTCGAGATATGACGTCATCGACAATTTTGTATATTTTATTGTATTTAATTGTATATGTAATATTCACAAAAAATAATGTAATAATTATACATTGTAAGTAACTAGTCAAAACAAAGTAGGTAATCGATATGTTTCCTCGTACCTATTTGAATTTATGATGATTATACTTATGATAAATTTTAATTTTTAAACTTATGTTCAAGCCAGTGATATGTTACTTTAACTAATTCATTTTCCGAAAATGCGCAGTTAGAAATAGAGAAAAGTTTTAAGGAGAACACTATAAAGGAGCAAAAAAATGCTCACAGGAATTTAAAATTCATAAAACTTCACAAATTCTTAATCATTTCTTAATAATTACTTCTTTAGGTCTTTTAACGAGCGAATAATGGTACTTGTAACCAAAGAAGTAGGACCTACCATAGAATAATTTCCAATTTTAAATCATGACTTTTTGAATAAGGTTAGAACAAAATGAGTTGAATTTTGCTCAAATTTGAAATATTTCGGGCATTTTCAAGAAGATTACAAGTGTATTCGCCTTCAAACTCTTCTTTTTCATATCATCACAACCAGGCGAATTCAATCCAATCAGCTCTTTATACATAAATCTACATACTACACACAAAATATTCCACTCGATAATTTTAAAAGCCATATTTTATTCAACGAAACCGTCCTCGCGGCAACCATTTAACACACAGCCAAACAAACGCTCTAATAACATCTACGATCGCACCTACAAAACACTCTATTAAAATATTCATCGACAGATTTCTATTGATAACGGAATCGATAGACCCCGTTCGGGAAAATTCCACGTTATGCGTTGCG